ATGCAACTCCGCCTCCGGGTTCATGCCCATTCTCCTGCCTCAGCCTCCCACAGTAACTGGGACTACAGGTGCCCACCACCATGCTGACTAATTTTTTGGATTTTTGGTAAAGACGGAGTTTCACCGTGTTAGCCAGGATGGTCTCAATCTTCTGACCTCGTGATCCACCCACCTCGGCCTTCCAAAGTGCTGGGATTACAGGCGTGAGCACCACGACTGGCCTGATTTTTATGTTTATTTAATTATTGTTTATCCGAATGAAGAGAGTTTAATTAAATGTACAGTGATAAAATGGAATAGTATAAAGAACTTGAACCAGACTACTTGTGTTGATATGGGTAGATTTGAAAAATATAACGCTAGACAAACAAAGTTAGTTGAAGAAATGATATGTACGTGGTACAACCATTTATATACAATTTTAGGACATGAAACAATTCTATGTATTTTTTATAGACGTATACATATACAGTAAAATGTTTAAAAAGAGCATGGGAATGGGACTAACTAATTCAGCGTGTTGGTTACCTCTATGCAGTAATTTAACAGTATAAAAGGACCCTAAAGCCAAAAGTTTCAGAATTGCTGTTTTAAAAGACTATGTCTACCACATAGTAATTAAAAATTACTGCCCGGGCATGGTGGCTTAAGCCTGTAAACCTAGCACTATGGGAGCTAAGGTGGGAGGAGAACTCCTGAGATCAGGAGTTCGAGACCAGCTGGCCAACATGGTGAAACCTGCGTCTCTAAAAATACAAAATTAGCCGGGCATTGAGGTGGTGCCTGTAATCCCAGCTACCAGGAAGCCCTGAGGCAGGAGAATTGCTGGAACACAGGAGGCGGAGGCTGCAGTGAACCAAGATCATGCCACTGCACTCAGCCTGGGCGACAGAGGTGAGACTCTGATCAAAAAAAAAAAAAAAAAATGCCGGGCACAGTGGCTCATGCCTGTAATCCCAGAACTTTGGGGAGGCTGAAGGCGGGTATTTATTTTCAGGTGGGAACAATTAGGTCACTTAAAGACATCATTTTTTCTTTCTTTTTTTTTTTTTTTGAGACGGAGTCTCACTCTGTCGCCAGGCTGGAGTGCAGTGGCACAATCTCAGCTCACTGCAACCTCTGCCTCCTGGGTTCAAGTGATTCTACTGCCTCAGCCTCCCGAGTAGCTGGGACTACAGGCGTGTGCCAACACACCCAGCTAATTTTTGTATTTTTAGGAGAGATGGGGTTTTGCCATGTTGGCCAGGATGGTCTCGATCTCTTGACCTCATGATCCGCCTGCCTTGGCCTCCCAAAGTGCTGGGATTACAGGCGTGAGCCTCCACGCCCGGCCAAGTCCATCATTTTGTCTATAAATTTCTGATGTTTATCCAAGGCTAAACAGTAAATTCTGAAGATTGTGCATCGAGGAATGCACAGAGACTGGTGCATTGAGGAAAGAGCATTTCATTGTAATAAGTTTTTATTTGAAGTTTATTTATTAAATGTTTTTGTCTTTAGAACACACCCACACACACACACACACACACACATACACACAAATACTTCTATCCGTATTTAAACCTAAAACGGTTAGACATAAAGTTTGTTCATAAAAAAATTCATATCCCTGAAGAATCTTTAATTATTAATAAACAAATCTCTTACGGATAACAAAATAGGTAACAGAGGTTGCTGACTGAATCAAAGTAAATAAGTAATACTAAAATATGAAAACAGAAAAAAATCTGAGAGATGACAGTCAATTAAACTTCTGTGAGCAAATGGCAAGTAAAGGACATGTAAAATACAGTTCACCATGGAGGAGTAGTGTGTTTGTAGGCTAGAGGTTGACATAGGACTGCTTCTATGAAGAAAGTTAGTCAGATTTATATTATTTACATTCTAATAAGTAAAAACTTTATTTTCAGAGTTTTCAGATTGGGACTTTACTAGCTTGACCCACAGTAATAAGACTTGCCAAAGACCTAGGAATTTGAAAATCAATGATAAATATCTATCTGTATCACAGTCAGTGACCAAAAATCAGTCAGCATCCCCAGAACTGGAAGAAATAGCTAAAGAAATGATTACTATTGGAGCAGAGTTTCTATTAGAGAATGATACTCTCCATGACCTGTGTGAATCACAGCTACCAGCAAACAAAAAGCAAAGAAGGTAACACAGAAGCACAGAGAATTCAGTCCTAGAGTACTTGGCTTCATAATATCATAGTTATGACTTTTATTTTTTATTTTATGTTTTGAGACGGAATTTTGCTCTTGTTGCCCAAGCTGGAGTGCAATGGCATGATCTCAGCTCACTGCAACCTCTGCCTCCCGGGTTCAAGCGATTCTCCTTCCTCAGCCTCCCAAGCAGCTGGGATTACAGGCACGCACCATCATGCCTGGCTAACTTTGTATTTTTAGTACAGACAGGGTTTCACCATGTTGGTCAGGCTGGTCTTGAACTCTTGACCTCAGGTAATCCACCCACCTCAGCCTCCCAAGTTGTGGGGATTTCAGGCGTGAGCCACCTTGCCTGGCCTAGTTATAACTTTTAAAAAAATTGTTTTTGGCTGGTTCATGCCTGTAATTCCAGCACTTTGGAAGGCCAAGGCAGGTGGATCACCTGAGGTCAGGAGTTCAAGACCAGCCTGGCCCACATGGTGAAACTCCATCTCTACTGAAAATATGAATATTAGGTGGGCGTGGTGGAGGGCGCCTGTAATCCCAGCTGCTCAAGAGGCTGAGGCAGGAGAATCACTTGAGCCCAGGAGGTGGAGCTTGCAGTGAGGCAAGATCATACCATTGCACTCCAACCTGGGCAACAGAGCAAGACTCCATCTCAAAAAAAAAAAAAAGAAGGAAAAGAATCATTTTTAGCAAAAGTACTTTGTGTTTACTCTCCTTATATAACCTACAACCATACAAAATACCTTTTAGCAGGGCATTTGTATTCTTCCTCTAATCAAAACAATCTATGAACAACAAAGAGAATTAGGGGAGAGAGTAATTTTGTTTAGGCTAATATGAAACATAAACTTGAGAGTCAGGACCAGGATTATATTTAGAGTTTTGGGACTGGATGGGAAACTAGGTAGAGATCTAAATATTGCCTACTCAAGCACAATGTGGTTTTTATGCTTTATTTTTACAGCTCTGAATTCACAAGTGTTAGTTATAACTACATGTAATGTAACAAAGAAGCACCATCCAAATCAAATATTATTTCTTACAATTTCTATGGCTTTAGATATTATAGAATGGACTGCCCCAGTATTAGTGGGAATCGTTGAGAATTTCTCTATAGTGTATCCCCAGCTGTGTACCCATAGTCTGTCATCTTATTTTAATGAATAGTTGTTCACTAGGAATATTTGTTTTAAGGAGTGCTCTATCATTTAAAAAAGATATATGAAGTTCAATTTTGCTAATAATTCTTTTAGGACACCCAGTCTATTGATTAATTGCATCTAATGTGTTTTACTTTATGTACCAGTTTAACTCAGTGCCCTTAATCATATGATCTGGTCTACAGTAATAAATTATATAATTTTTTTATCCCAATAGTTTTGTTTTCTTTTCCCCTTTGTAAAATTAACGTTGTATTTTACAGAAGATGATCAGCTGTCTCCTAGAGTAGTGACTGCAAGCTATAAATCCAGAGTTACTTACCTATACCTATATATGCTTGTTTGCTCTTATTTCTTCATGAGCTTGGTAGATCCAAGAAGCAGGACTTTTAAAACAAAATAACTAAATGAAATCCCTCAACACAGGAAGACATGAAACAGAAAAAGCATGAAGTAAACAACTTAAACAGTGCCTGTAGATTGTTTCACTTCTCATTTAATACCTTTTATAAAGTAATGAAGAGTCTAGTTCTCCAGGGACCCAGATATATACATGTATCCATTTAATAAAAATTCACTCTATATTGGGTACTGATATTCTATATCCTAAATATTTTTGGAAACATTCCCTCAGTTTAGGCCTACATTATTCTTGTTTTGCAATATTTTCTAATTCAGTTCCCTTTATTTATTCATATGCCCTTGAAATTCATCCTCCCCACAGTATTTAGGGTGATCTGTCTCCAATGCAAATAGGACCTTGAGTCCCTCTTGAAAACATAAATGTTCAAACATCTTAAGATTACATATAAGGCTTTCATCATCTGACTTCTGCCTAACTCTCCATCTTTAGCCCTTTCCCCTTTCTGCCCTTTTCTCTGGGATTACTCAACTGCTGGTGATGCTCTCCTCGGGTGCTTGTATTTTAGACAAATATGCTGTCTGAGGCTTCTTTCCCTCTCTTGTTGCTGCCTTGCATACTGTTACCTTTTCCTGCCCTTTACCCCTTTTAGTCTGGCTAACCTCACTTTTTAAGTCTCAACTCAGGCATGATCTCTAGAAAAGCCATCTTTGACACCTTTTATTTACTTTCTTTTTTTTTTTTTTCTTTTTTTGTGGTGGAGTCTCACTGGAGTACAGCAGCATGATCTTGGCTCTCCGCAAACCTCCGCCTCCCAGGTTCAAGTGATTTTCCTAACTCAGCCTTCCAAGTAGCTGGGATCACAGGCACCCATCGCCAAGCCCAGCTCATTTTTGTATTTTTAGTAGACAGGGCGTTTCATCATGTTGGCCAGGCTGGTCTGGAACTCCTGGCCTCAAGTGATCCACCCGCCTTGGCCTCCCAGAGTGCTGGGATTACAAATGTGAGCCATCCATGCTGTTCTTATTTACATTCTTTAAACCCCAGTGTTTAGCACTTAGCAGGAACTCAGTAAATAATTGTCAAGTAAAATAGATAAAGACTGTTTATACAAAGATAACTTGAAAGATTGTCCCCTACCGTCTGGGGAGCAAGGGCATAAACATATAAATAAAAAATTTACAGTTCAGATGGAAGAGATACAGTACAAAGATAAGGTACTAAGGCAGCCCCAAGGAAGGAGACACCTGTTTATCAGGGGGAAGATAGCTCTAATCAAGGAAGACTTCACATAACTCTCTTAGTCTTAAAAGATGAAAAGAAATTTGTCAAAATAGCAGAAAACGTTTCAGATGTAAGGAGCGTGATGTACAATGATAAAGATGTAAAAAGTAACAGTAATTTTGGAACTCATTAATAATGAACAACACTCTTTGTGCCTTGTTGGAAAGATACTGTTATAGAGAACATTTACAGTGTTACTTTATATATTCCTACTGTATCATAAAATTTTGTTTTATTTCTGACAGTTTAGCTCATTTACGTTGGGTGAATGAATTTGTGAGTGAATCTTTGAGACGTTTGTATGGGTTGAACCTATTGTCTAGTGTTGCTAGTCTCCCCAAGTGGTTTGTTGAAGTTTTGGATAATAGTTGAAGTTTTAATTAGATACTTCATTAAGCTGATACTTAGAAGTATTTCTTACTGAGAAGTAAATGTTCCACTAAAGATTAGGCTTCATTCAAACTTTTTGTGATTGCGCCACTGCACTCCAGCTAGGGTGACAGAGTAAGGCCCTGTCTCAAAAACAAATGGAAGAAAACCCTCTCAATTTATACAATAAAAATAAATGTTATTTTCTATTTCTATAAAGACTATACCTTTTACCTAATTGTTCTAAGTAGTTCGTTTAACTAAACATTTGGATTTTTTCAGCTGAACATGACTTAGAAGTGGCATCAGAAGAAGAGCAAGAAAGGGAAGAAAGTGAAAATCACCAGCCACAGGTATTATATATATTGTTTTAAATTTCTGTTTTAATATTGTTTTCTTTGCTGTAATGATGTAACATCGTTCAAATGAAATTACCTTTCAGACTAGCCTTTTAGAATCAATAGATCATTATTTAATATTTAGTATTAAAAACATTTAGACTAGTTAAAATATTCTTAGAATGTATCATAACCTATAGCTAATCTTTTGTTTTTTGTTTTGTTATAGTCAATCTTTACCCTTGGAATTGAAGCCAGAAATTTCCTGAGTATTGTTTCCTCTTTCATTTTTATAACTTCTTTACATGATAAAGATGGTAACATCAAATATTGAATCATATTATTAAACAATAGAAATTCTGAACATTTTAACACTGATGGCCACTGAGTTGAATTCATCTTAAAGGAGTAATCATTCCCAGTGGTTCAGGATTTACATTCTTATATTCCTGGTCACTAATTCCAAGGTTAAAGATTTATTCTGCCTTGTGATCTCTGTCAACTTCAGTGTCTACATTCAGGGAAAGAATGAGGTCAGAAAATCAACCCAGTTATTAAGAAAATCATTCCTTTCAGAATGGGATCTTTCCACTGTTAGGATATAAACAATAACTTTCTGATTATTTCAGTCTAGGAAATCAGTAAATATTATGGAATTTTTTTATCCACTATTAATGAACCTTAGAATATATAAGAATTGGACTTAAGCTGATAGCCTATACAGATGCATAACACCATATTATGGTATATAATTTCAATCAAAATGTAAGGATTTGCTTTTCTTTCTGATTGTTGTTTATTTTGGCTCCAAATAATTTAAAGTTTCCCTACTCTTCAGTTAGAAATCTTTGGAAAAAGTACTTAAATGCACTGTAGGGGCTCAGTATTTGAGGTATGGTAGGGTAAAATCTTTTTAAGTGAGGATGCCTTTGTAATGCTACAGATCATCTGCTAATTTATTTTTGGTAGATTTAACACGTAATGAATTAAGTTTAATCCAAAGGAACAGTGAAACACTTAACTTTGCTAGTTCATGCCCTTCTTCTATTTTAGGCTAAGGCAAATTAGTTTTTACTTCTTAGTTATTATTCCAGTGATTTGGGAGTAACTAAATGTAGATTAAGTTTAACAGTTAAATTTTAATTATTTCCTAATTGTTCTTTGTCCATACTTGATTACTCAAGGATAAAGTTATTTTAAAAACATGCACCCTGACAGAAAAGACATCTGAAAAACAAAACAAGCAAATTAATCTTTCACTTTCACGTCTGCAAAAAATGTCTCAAGAACCAGAACTGAATAAGGAGTGTAATAGAGAGGATGTATCTGTATATTCAGGACTTCCTGGTGTGCAAAACAGTGAAGAAATGTCAACCAAACAAGGCAAATTAGAGTGGAAAAATAACTTAAAACTCATCACAAATGAGTTAAAGCAGAGCTGTGGTGAAACTTATGAAAAATACAAAATTACTGCTTATCCTGGGGAAGAGCCACTACATGATAACTCTAAAGGAGGCGCAAACTTAAAGGAAGTACCCTCTTCTTTGACAAATAATATACTTGATTGTGATGAAAAAGATTCTCCTGTCTCTGTACTATACCAGGCATTGCCTGAACAAAAAGAACCCAGTCTCGAAAATGGCTTTTCATCTCCTTCATACTCTGGGTCCCCAGACTATGCCTGCCAGTCATATTCTAAGACTTATTTAAATGAAAATAAATTAGGCCATGGAAATGTTAACAAACCAGACCCTGAACATGTTTTTAACACAGATGAGAATTTTTATAATGATAGAGAAAATAAAAAAGTAAGGAACCCAGTAGTAGTTACAGGTGAAATGAAAGAAGAATTTGATATGCAAATGACAAAAAATATGAACCAAAGTACCACTAATTGGAAATTAAACATCAGATGTGTGCCTCAGTCTAGTGATCCAAAAAGACCTTTTGATTTGATCTGCTCCAAAGAAATGAAGCATATGATTCAAATAAAAAGGCACAGGATTTCTGCTGGTACAGACGCTTATAAGAAAACAAAACCAATACAGAACTTGTTCCAGAAGCCATTATATGATCATTGCAGTGCTCATAACGATAAAAGCATGGAACTTGAATTAGAAAATGTGAGGTCTTCTGTACCACATAGTGAGAGAACATCAAAAGTATCTCTAAAAGAAGAATTACAGCAAGATATGCAAAGGTTTAAAAATGAGATAGGCATGTTAAAAGTAGAGTTCCAGACTTTGGAGAAAGAAAAAGTCCAACTTCAGAAAGAGGTAGAGGTTTGCTTGCTGCTACTCTTTGTTTTTTTCTCTATCAATTATTTGATCCATTCTGATTTTCTGCTTTTGAAGAGCTCAAGTATAAAGTGGTGTTACCTAAATATGTAATTGTGTGTAGAAATAGATTATTTCTGCTAAGTAACAGGAGTTAAGGAAAACGTTCTCAAAATCTTTGTTCCTTAATCAACTTAAGAAGTCTATGAGTCTTCGCTCTTCTAAGTGACATATGGACTGGGAAACTAATTTAGCCATATACCATGTGACCTTGTGAACCAGTATAAGTGTAAAGGAAATTGCTTTATGAAAGGTAATAAGTGCTAGGGTTTTTTTCCCTATTGACTTAAAAATGAATTTCTTTTATTTAAACAACAACATGGCAATACAGTGGGAAAGAAGCAGTGACTGAGAAGAGATATAAAAATGTTTCTAGCCCTGAGTATTGTAACAAATATTCCCAGCCAAAGGGATCTTTTTAATGCGAGCTTATCTGTTTGACTCAAACTGTTAGAGTTTATAATTCCATTCTGATCACTTTAAAGATTTTTGACAACAAATACATACACTTTCACATATTTTTTAAATCACCAGTCAAATATTTCTGTTGAACCAGACCTTTACATTATGTTGTTTAATAAAGTATGATAAGTTTGGGCGTGTATACCATATAAGTGGCATAAATCCTCAGCCAGCAATTTAGTATTTAACTCCAAAGTAGAAAGCTGAGTTCTGTACATTGAGTTTTAAAGATAAACAATAATCTGCAGATATTCTTCTTTTTCTTTCTTTCTTTCCTTTTTTTTTTTTTTTTTTTAAGACAGAGTATCACTCTGTTGCCCAGACTGGAGTGCAATGGCATAATCTTGGCTCACTGCAACCTCTGCCTCCCGGGTTCAAGCCATTCTCCTGCCTCAGCCTCCTGAGTAGCTGAGATTACAGGCATGCACCACCACACCCGGCTAATTTTTGTATTTTAGTAGAGACCGGTTTCACCATGTTGGCCAGGCTGGTCTTAAACTCCTGACCTCATGATCCGCCTTCCTTGGCCTCCCAAAGTGCTGGGATTACAGCATGAGCCACCGCACCTGGCCGATACTCTTCTTTAAAAGTAAAAGTAGATGAGGTTACCCACACCCTGCTATGGCTTTAAATTACTTTGCCAGTGTCACGCTTTTAATTCATCTGATTAATTTGATGAATTTATCTGGTAATTTATCTGATTCAGCATTATGGAGTTATATCATCTCTTTTGGTGCCATAAAATGCTAGATAATGCCACTTTAGGAGCTCTGGATGGATCATTTAATCTTTCTTGTTTTACTTCCATTATCAGTAGATAATGGGGCTAACTTAGATAATTAACACTTATGCTGTGTATCCTCCAACTATAAAATTTTATGGTTATTGAATGTGAAATTTGGGAAGCATCTCATTCTCCAGAATTCCACACCAGCAACTCAGCACTTTCACTCTGTTCCTTATGTTGTGGCAAACTTTGGTTTCTGTGTTTCAGTGAGCACCTTCACCTTGTTGATATCCCAGGATCCAAATGAAAAAAGAATTATAAAAGACACTGGGGAAAAGAATAGCTTAGTGCAGAAAGGGGAAGATTCCTTTCTCTTCCTGGAGCAATGTCACATCCTCTATATCTGGCTGCATAGTGTAAAATCCAGGTGGTAAAGGCAGAAGAAGATGCATCTTGTGTCTTTGTCTTTTTATTTCTCTGTTTCTGCCAGTAAAATGGAGTGAAAATTCATAGTAGATAGTGAAGATTGGATGGGAATAAAAGCACAAAATTAAGAAGAGTCCTTGAAATTTTGGAAAATTCTGTTTTACCCAAACAGAATGAAGCAGACTTTACAAAAATTTTGTTAATAAAATTATAATAATAGCTGATAATTATATAACAATTATATATACAATGATCCCATTAAAGTAAGCAGGAAATATTTTTATTGGCTAAAGTTACCATAGTTAAACTGAGTCAAATGATAAACTCAGTGAAAACAGAAATTCTTTTTGTTGAATAAAGTAATAGCAATTCCTTAGTATCGAACTTTCATCGAAGGTTGAAGAAGAAAGGAAAAAACACAGAAATAGTGAAATGGAAATATCAGCAAACATACATGATGGTGCTACTGATGATGAAAATGATGGATTAATTCAAGAAAGAAGGAGTGGAGAAACTGATCATCAGCAATTTCCCAGGAAGGAAAATAAAGAGTATGCTAGGTAAGCCGATAGCATATTTAACAGCAGATAATTGTTATTGTGCTATAAAACTAATTCTAATTTGGACTAATATTCATGATTAATGAATATTATACTTTTATTATACAAGGGATATGCAACCTTGTCTTGTAATTAGAAAAAGGCAAATTAACAAACAATGAGATGCCAGTTGTTTCAGTCATATTGATATTTTATTTAAAAAATAATACCCAGTGATGGCAAATGCGAGAAAAAAGGCATTCTCGTACACTGTTGGTAAATGAAATTGGTAAATCCTTTCTGAAGGATAATTTAGTATGTATTAGAATTTCAAATATTTCCTATCTTTAACCTAACAGCTTCACTTCTGGGACTAGATTCTACAGGAAAATATGACTTACGTAAAAATGTACACACACAAGGACATTTATTATATATTATGTATAATATACAGTAGGCCTATATGTAATATATATATAACATGTTAAAGATAAATAATATGTATTTTAAGAATATTTATATAAACACATTACGTATATACATATGTATGTTAAGGATATTTATTATAGTATCCCAAATGTTGGGCTCTCAAATTAATCTAAATTACAATCTGTGAATTCACCAGTGTTTGAGAAAGCCCTACACAGAGGCATCTGTAGTCCATGTAAACATTTCAGTATATTGGGTATTTTAGGGGCTCACGCTCAACTCTTAACACAGTGGGCAATTTCAGTCTCTGTAAATTATGTAGGTATAGATAGTGATAGCCTTGTGCATGTTTTTAGACCATAAAAAAGTAGTTATGACTGGGCGCGGTGGCTCATGCCTGTAATCCCAGCACTTTGGGAGGCTGAGGCAGGTGGATCACTTGAGGTCAGAGTTCCGGACGTGCCTGGAAAACATGGTAAAACCCCATCTCTACTAAAAATACAAAATTAGGCAGGCGTGGTGGCAGGCGCCTGTAAACCCAACTACTGGGGAAGCTGAGGCAGGAGAATCGCTTGAACCTGGGAGGCAGAAGTTGCAGTGAGCCAAGATTGTGCCACTGCACTCCAAACTGGACACAGGGCGAGACTCCATCTCCAAAAGTAATAATAATAATAATTACAGATTTTCTGGTGGTAAATCTAACTAGGCTAAAAGTCTATAAAAGTTACCAAATTCTTTTCTTTTTTTGAGATGGAGTTTCACTCTTGTTGCCCAGGCTGGAGTGCAGTGGCGTGATCTCAGCTCACTACAACCTCTGTCTCCCGTGCTCAAGCAATTCACCTGCCTCAGCCACCCAAGTAGCTGGGATTACAGGCCCGCACCATCACACCAGACTAATTTTTTTGTATTTTTAGTAGAGATGGGGTTTCACCATCTTGGCCAGCTGGTCTTGAACTCCTGACCTCGTGATTCACCCGCCTCAGCCTCCCAAAGTGCTGGGATTACAGGCATGAGCCTCCATGCCCCACCCATTATTTTATTTTCAAACAAAATCATAACTAATCAGAATATTGCTATTTTGGAGCTGCATATAATGACATACAGGTATTCTAAAAGTAAGGGTTTTTTCCCCCACCCGGATATTTTCCTAATTTCTTCTTTCATGTTATATGTGTATCATTCTATTTTTAAAACTTTGTTTAAAAAAAAAACTTCATTTAAGTGAAACATTATATTTAAAAACAAAACCAAAAATATAGCCCAAATCGAACTGCTACTTCCATGTCTAAAGATCATTGCTTGTGAGCTCTAGCCTTTTACTGTAGCATTCAAGTTTAGTGTAGCATTCACCTCTCTCTAGTTTCTTTTTTTTCTTTCAAGTTCCTAGGAAACATCTAGACGCTGTGGGCCTAATCTCTGCTCACCTTCTATCTCTAAGTAGAATGGTTTTCTCTCACTTTTTTGTCTTGTGAACTCCTCTATTTTGTCTCTTCTGTTTTAAAACTGTCCTTATGCTCAGATGTACCTTTTCATATATTAACTCTTACATATCACATTTTATCATAATGGTATGATAAAATTATGGTTTTTGAAGCAGGGAATATACATTTCCTCTTATGTTGTTGCTAATTTGTGTTTTTTGAATTAGTGAATGAATTGAGGTGGAGGAAATGTTGGAATTTTATAAAAATTTTTTGTTTGTCAGAATTATTAGAAAACATTGGCTTTTTAATGGATTTTTAAATTTTTTTTATTCTTTTTTATTCCTTAACTCTCTTTCTGCACTTTGTTTCTTTTTTTCTTTTTTCTTATCTAACTGTCACTTCCCATGGATTTTTTAAAGTAGTGGTCCTGCCTTGCAAATGAAGGAAGTAAAGAGAACTGCGAAAGAATCTGTGAATTCACCAGTGTTTGAGAAAGCCGGTTTACTAACTGGTGGCCTGCTACAAGTGGATGATGACAGCAGTTTAAGTGAAATAGATGAGGACGAAGAAAGGTAAAATCTGTGATTTCTTTATTTCTCTATGGAGGAAGATTAGTAATAATTTTTTTCTGAAAATAGAATGATGTAGTCTCCCAAAGCTAGAGAATATCGACTGTTTCCATGCTGCCAAAAGATTAAGATGAGGACAACTTTGACAAGCAGCAGTTTCAATAAATGGTCACCATGGAGCCCTGACTGTAGTGGATGGGCTTTGACAGTGTTTGAGAGAACTTGGACTGAGAGGCAGTAGGTAAACAGGTGGTAACTGAAGAAGAATGTGGGATTCAAGGGAGCCTTCTTTCTTTTTTATTGTAAAACATAAGCTTTTAGAGTATATTTACATGCTTTTGGGAGTGACCCAGTAGAGAAGGAAATGCTTATGAAATTTAGTTTTGTTTGCATGTCTAAGCCTCAAAAAAGCTTGATCCTTTATCTTTTAAAGATTTATAATAAACTAACTGTTCTTAGAACTTCTATTTATGTAGTTTTTTGCTGTATAAAAAGAGATTGTTCATTTAGAATTGTTTCAGAAATGGAATATTCTTATATAATTGAATGTGTTGATGACGATCTAAAAGTTAAACTATCGTATATGGATTTTAAAAAATTAATAATAAACATGCAAACCATGTAGGTCATACTGAATTGAATTTAAATAATTCTTGGTAATTGAAGATATCAGAGTACTTTTGACAATAGCATCATGAACAGCTATGATTTTGTAAGATCAGGTGTATTAACTTAATAGTTGTTTAGATTCTGGGGAGAAGGGGGGGATTTTGTTTATGTACCGTAGAAAATTAAACTATTGACAATCTATCACAGACTTATTTTTAGGTTATAAAGTTCTAAAATATTAAAAACCATGTTGCCTTATGCTAATAGTGTCATTGACATATATTGTATGCTCAATAAGGATTTTTTTTTTTTTTTGGTCAGAGTCTTGTTCTGTTGCCCAGGCTGGAGTGCAGTGACATGATCTCAGCTCACTGCAACCTCCGTCTCTTGGGTTCAAGCAATTCTCATGCCTCAGCCTCCCAAGTAACTGGGACTACAGGTGCACACCACCATGCCTGGCTATTTTTTGTATTTTTATTAGAGACAGGGTTTTGCCATGTTGGCCAGGCTGGTCTTGAACTCCTGACCTCAAGTGATCTGCCCACCTTGGCCTCCCAAAGTGCTGGGATTACAGGCGTGAGGCACCATGCCCAGCTTCAGTAAGGATTTTTGAATGCATGAATAAAGAGTTGAGTAGATGAATGAATGAACGTTGATGAATTTCTTTAGAAAAAATAAATGTTGAGCTTATTGAAAGTAGGTTTCCAAATTGGCTAGATATAAGGTCTTTTTATTTTAAAAATATTTACAAGATTAAAAAATTATTATTTATAATTATAACCAGAAATAGAATGAAAATATAGATTCATCTGCTATCATATCACTTAAAACACTTGAAAATAAATATTACTTTCACAGCACAGCAAAATATGTTTCAGAGCTAGAATTTTTGGGTTTAAATTTTGGGTCTGCTACTGACCAGCAATATGTGCTTGGGCAAATTACTTGACTTTTCTGTGCCTAGTTTCTTCCTTTATAAAATACCTAATATTTTATCAACCTCACAGAATTATTGTTAGGATTAAAATGAGTTTAACATGTACAGTGCTTAGAATAATGCATAGTACCTGCATTGTGACTCCTGAAAAAAGCTAATATCGTCATTCAAAAAGGGTTTCCCTCATGTAAGGGTGTTAAGTAATACATTCCAAATAGGTTTTAGTGCCAGTAAAAGCTTGTTTTTATTGAAAAGGTCAATACCAAAAAAAACCTGGTATATTTCTTTCTATTGAGTAACGCAAGTAACACTGTGTTTTCCTTTTGCTTTGACTATCAGGAAGCTTGATCTAAATTTTTTTGTTATGATATTAGTATATTTTTCTTGTCCCTTACTTTTACTTTTTCTGTTTGTGGTTCAATACCCCTTGTAGAAAGTTATTATCTTTTATATTACCTGTAAAAAATATTCCTGTGAACTTTATGAGTAGGGTAAATAAATTACAAATGCAGAGCTTTTATTTAAAAAAACAATAATTTTAGATATTCCTTACATTTTACATATTTACTATTTGCCTGGAAGTTGTTGTTTTTTTTTTTTTTTTTTTTTCAGGCCTAGTAAGAAAACATCTAATGAAAAGAACAAGGTACTGTAAAAAATAAATTATCAAAATTACTGTTTAAAAAAATACATTATAAAAGATAAAGGGGGCTGGGAACAGTGGCTCACACCTGTAATCCCAGCACTTTGGAAGGCTAAAGCGGGAGGATTGCTTGACTCCAGGAATTTGAGACCAGCCTAGGTAACATAGTGAGAGCCTTGTCTTTACAAAAATTAAGAAAAAATTAACCAGGCATGGTGAGCATGCCTGTAGTCCCAGCTCCTTGGGAGGCTGAGGTGAGAGGATTGGTTGAGCCCAGGAATTTGAAGCTGCAGTGAGCTATGATCACGATGCTACACTCCAGCCTGGGTGATAGAATAAGACCCGATGTCAAAAAAAAAAAAAAAAAAGAAATGAAAAAAAAAACAGAGAATCTTTTGTTGTAAAGACATTTACTTTGAAAAACTGATTAAGAAGCACTAGCCGTTGATAATATATCCTTTTAACTAAAATCAGTTCTTTTAAAGAAATACCTGTGTTTTTGCTCATATAGAAAGATGGATAATTACCACTTCTGTATGTGCTATAAATATTTGGGGGACATTTTGAAACAGTGTTATTTATTTCAACCCCATAGGTCAAAAACCAAATACAGTCTATGGATGATGTTGATGACTTAACTCAGTCATCTGAAACAGCCTCAGAGGATTGTGAGCTGCCCCGCTCTAGTTACAAGAATTTTATGTTGCTCATTGAACAACTTGGAATGGAGTGTAAAGGTAGGCCTATTGCAGAAATTTAAGGCCTCTTTTTGTATCCCACTGTAATGTATGCAAAGTAATAAAGTGAAATGTATGCACACTTAGCATACATTATGCTGTGTTTAATTGGTGGCTACAGTGCTGCCACTGTGCAAAAGCTGAAAAGGAGATTCTTATATAATATATTCTTGATATTATTCCTTTGTTAGCTATGTTTTTTGCAGGGATTTTTTTCTCCCAGTTTGTGGCTTGACTTTTCATTCCTCTTTTTTTTTAATTTTATTTTTTAATTGTTTTGTTGACTTTTCATTCTCTTAATGGTATCTTTTGAAGAGCAGAAGTTTTTAATTTTGATTAAGTCCAATTTACTGTTTAATTATGGATTTTGCTTTTGTATCGCATTTAAGAAGTTTTGCTTAACACAGGTCACAAAGATTTCCTCCTATGCTTTTTTTCCTAGAAGTTTTATAGCTTTAGGTCTTTCTTTGGACAAAATCTCACTCTGTCCTCAGGCTGGAGTGCACTGTAACTGCAACCTCCACCTCCCAGGTTCAAGCAATTCTTGTCTCTCAGCCTCCTGAGTAACTGGGATTATAGGCGTGTGCCACCGTACCCAGGTTTTTTTGTTTGTTTGGGGGTTTTTTTGTGTTTTTTTGTTTGTTTATTGTGTTTGTTTGTTTTTTGTTTTTGGGATGGAGTCTCGCTCTGTCACCCAGGCTGGAGTGCAGTGGCGCGATCTCGGCTCACTGCAAGCTCTGCCTCCCTGGGTTCACTCTATTCTGCTGCTCAGCCTCCCAAGTAGCTGGAAATACAGGCGCCACCCACACCAGGCCTGGCAAATTTTGTGTATTTTATAGAAGATGGGTTTCACCGTGTTACCAGGATGTTCTTTGATTTCCTGACCTTGTGGTCTGCCCGCCTTGGTCTCCCAAGAGTGCTGGGATTACAGGCTGTTGAGCCACCCACATCCATTCCCTGCCGGCTTTTTGTATTTTTTTTTTTTTTTTTTGACATATATACAGAATATTTTTTTAATGTTCACTTGATTTATCTGTTACATAGTTTAATTTTTTCCAGGACTTTGAACTTGCTTTTTCATATTTTCTTTTTTTTTTTTTTTTAAATTTATTTATTATTATTATACTTTAAGTTGAGGGTACATGTGCATAACGTGCAGGTTTGTTACATATGTATACTTGTGCCATGTGCTGTGCTGCACCCATCAACTCGTCTTTACATCAGGTATAACTCCCAATCAATCCCTCCCCCCCCCTCCCCATGATACCCGGTGTGTGATGTTCCCCTTCCTGAGTCCAAGTGATCTCATTGTTCAGTTCCCACCTATGAGTGAGAACATGCGGTGTTTGTTTTTCTGTTCTGTGATAGTTTGCTAAGATAATGGTTTCCAGCTGCATCCATGTCCCTACAAAGGACACAAACTCATCCTTTTTTATGGCTGCATAGTATTCGCATGGGTGTATATGTGCCACATTTTCTTAATCCAATCTGTCACTGATGGACATTTGGGTTGATTCAATCTTTGCTATTGTGAAGAGTGCTGCAATAAACATACGTGTGCAGTGTGTCTTTATAGCAGCATAATTATAATCCTTTGGGTATATACCCAGTAATGGGATGGCTGGTCATATGGACATCTAGTTCTAATCCTTGAGGAGTCACCATACGTTTTAGAGGCGGGATTCATCCATGTCGACTGTTGGCCAGCGCTGGGTCTCAAAACTCCCGCCTCAAGTGATCCGCCACTCCGAGTGCTGGGATTACGGGCATGAGCCACCGTGCCCAGCCAGTTTTGGGTCTTATATTTAGGTCTGTGATCCATTTTGAGTTCCTATTTTTGTATGGATTGAAGTATGGATTCAAGTTCATCTTTTTGGATATGGACATGCAATTGTTCCAGCATCATACGTCAGAAAGGCTAGCCTTTTCCTACTGCATTTGCCATTGTGCCTTTGTCAAAAATAAGTTGACTGCATACATGTGGGTCTACTTCTCAACTCTATTGTGTTCCATTGATCTACAGATGCTCCTGAGTTTTATCTCAGGTTTTTGGTTTTTTGTTTTTTGGCTTATAAGCTATGACTCTTTGTTTTGCTATCTTAGTGGTTGCTTTAGGATTTATAGTATATGACTTGAACTTATCACAGTCTACCTTCATATAATATCATACCACATCATATATGTATAATTTTGTTATAGTTCTGGTATACAGTATAATTATAATAGTAGGCTTTCATTTTTTTCTCTCCTAGGCATATCCTTTCTGAATCTGTGGGATTATAGTTAATTTATTAAGTTTAGGAAGTTTTGGCCAATTTTTCTTCACTTTTTTTTTTTTCTGTCTCTCTTCCTCCCTCTTTGGGGGCTTATATATTAGCTGCTTGGATTTTTTTCCACAGTTCATTGGTGTCTCAAAGTTATGAATCTTTTCTTTTGTGATGGTTCGTCTGTGTTTATTTCCATCTAATTTAGTTTTCATCTTTGACATTGTAATTTGCATCTCTACAAGTGCAATCTGGTTTTTAAAAAAATATCTTCCATGCCTCCACTTGTCTTCTTGAGCTTTATTTTGGGGTACAGTTGAATTCCATATAAACAGCTTGACTTTTCCCTATCTTGCTTCTATGATTTGGGCTGATTCCCCACTCCTGAGGCAATACCTTTCTGATTATTCATTGTCTTGAGAAGTATGAGTTTTTCCAGCCTGACTGTGGGAATGAATACTCTTCTTGGTGCTTTGGAAGCACCAGGCAGGATTTCCTCTCTTTTTTTAGGTGGTTTTTTCTTTGGTTTCAGGTAGTTTCCTGGCATACATGCACTGTTTATTACACTGCTCAATACCCAAGAGGGGATCTCTGGAGATCTGCAGGGTTCTTTCTCTGTATCTCTCATTCCTCTCTAGTGTCCTGTGATCTCTGTCTACTTTGCGTTTACCAGACTCTCAGCTTCATCACTTCAACTCAGGGAGTTTGCTGGACTTTATGTCAGTTTTTCCTCCCCACGTCATGGCCTGGAAACTCTGAAGGCCGGGCTCTGGGCATTCATAAGACTTACTTCCTTTGTTTCTTTTCTTTTCTTTCTTTTTTTTTTTTTTTTACTCTTGCTCTGTCACTTAGGCTGGGGGAAAATGGCACAATCACAGTCACTGCAATCACCACCTTCTGGGCTGAAGCAGTTATCCCAACTCAGCCTCCCAAGTAGCTGTGATTACAGTCACCTGCCACCACGCCCTGCTAATTTTTGTATTTTTAGTAGAGACAGGGTTTCACTATGTTGGCTAGACTGGTCTCGAACCCCTAGCCTCAGGTGATCTGCTCACCTCACCTCCTAAAGTGCTGGGATTACAGGTGTGACCCACCATGCCCAGCCACTTCTTTTGTTTCTTGTCTGTCAGGGATCATTGTGTTCATTGCCTGAGTCCACTGTCTTGAAACTCATTGTTTCATGTATTTTGTCTGTTTTGTCTTTGGTCATTTCAGGAAAGAAGGAAAGTTAGTACTTGAAGCAGACTGCACTAGAGGCTCAGCACATACCACAGACTGGCTGGATGCTTTTCTTCCCCCTTTGCTGAACTGCTGCCTTCTCGTCCTTCATTTCTCAGTGTAGCCACCTCTCCTTCAGGGAAATCTTACCTGGGCCCAGTATAGATCAAATTATCTTTTGTGGTCATAGAACTCTTGCTTCCTTACAGCATCTATCTGAATTCATAATTGTGACTTTTTTTGTCTTTCTTAACTATACTTTAAGCTAAGCAAGTGCAGAGGTCTTGTCTGTTTTATCTGCAGAGCTTAGTTTAATGTCTTCCACATTGTAGGCCCTCAGTATATAATTGGTCAGTGTCTTAATGAGTTACAGTGTATAGTGTGTTATATGCGAAAAGTACTCATATATTTCTGTCTTGTTTTCTCCCTGATACAGATTCTGTTAGCCTATTGAAAATCCAGGATGCAGCTCTTTCATGTGAAAGATTATTAGAACTTAAAAAAAATCACTGTGAACTACTTACAGTAAAAATTAAAAAAATGGAAGATAAGGTTAATGTACTACAAAAGGAGCTATCTGAAACAAAAGAAATAAAATCACAGTTAGAGCATCAAAAAGTTGAATGGGAACGAGAACTGTGCTCTTTGAGGTATGATAGCCTAGTTTTAAAGAAATATTTAACTATTTGTACTAAAGATATATAGAATTCTTGTAATTGCTGACTTACCTTCTGGGGCTTAGCAGGGGAGAAAGCTTAGTCTTGTGGAGTGTGAAATTCTTGGAAATAATATAACTAGTTCTTAACTATGAACATCTACTAAATATATATTCTTTTAAATCACTTTAATGGCTATGTAGAAGTTTGTCATACAGAAGTCTCATTATTTATTTAATAGAATAAGTTTTGGGTTTACAATTTTTTTGTATTATAGTTAATGCTGGAAGGAATACCTTTTTATAAATCTTTATATTTCTAATTGTTTACTTTGAATAAATTTTTCAATATAGAATTTTATAGGAATTTTTTTTAAAAAGGCCTTTGATCCAGATTTTTAAATTGTTCTCAAGAAAGTTTATGTTAATTTACGTTTCAATTAATAGAGAATGAAATGCCCATTTTTTCAACCTAAATGTTTTTTTTTTTTTTGAAATGGAGTCTTGCTGTGTTGCCCAGGCTGCAACATCTGCCTCACGGGTTCTCTTGCCTCAGCCTCCTGAGTAGCTGGGATTACAGGCGCATGCCACCACACCTGGCTCATTTTTTATATCTTTAATAGAGATGTGGTTTCACCCTGTTGGCCAGGCTGGTCTCGAACTCCTGACCTCAAGTAATGTGCCCTCCTCAGCCTCCCAAAGTGATAAGATTACAGGCATGAACCACTGGCACCCGGCCAAAAAGTTAATTTTCAACTTGCATTTTTATTGAATCATTTCCAATATCCTTTTCCATAATATTTGCCAGAGGTACTTGTAACAGAAACCTACCAGTTAACAGAATGTTCTTTCATCACTGCCTTTCAAGTATATATGTCCTTTGGAAAAGACTGAAGTGAGCAATTAAAAATCGGAGAACTAGAAAGGAAAGATATTCAAGAACACAGAAATTGTATTAGGGTGATAAACCAACATATGAAGCAGCAGATCACACAATGAACTTTTTATTTTGTAACAATACAGATTTTAAGATAAGCATCTTTAACTGCAGATTTAGCTTAAACCAAGAAGAAGAGAAGAGAAGAAATGCTGATATGTTGTATGAAAAAATTAGGGAACAGTTAAGAAGGAAAGAAGAGCAATATAGGAAAGAAGTTGAAGTGAAACAACAGCTTGAACTGAGTCTCCAAACACTGGAGATGGAATTGAGGACTGTAAAAAGTAATTTGAATCAGGTAAATTAATTTTGGATAAAAATTTTATATTTTTAACTTTATTTCATCACTATTACTTATGCTTTTGATTTAATATATATTATCTAGGTTTAAAACAAAAATGTTATCTTAAGCTGACCTATGACCTTTATAACTAAAATTATTCATGATAAATCTTGGCACCTAATAGATGCTCAGTCTCTGTTTTCTGAATGAAGGAATGGAGGATAAGTTGAGTTTAATCACTAACATAAATGTTAATTTAGGCATTTAATGTTAAAATACAGGCTAAATATCTCTAAAATTATGATGAAACTAGTAAAATGTTTGACATTTTATTTCACAATTCTTTATTTGCCTGTATTTAAGAACCGTTTTTGCTCTTTGATGAATTTAGCTGACATTTATGTGATTAAAATTTGAGTAATTCTTGAGTAATAAAGGTTCTTGCATTTTAATATGCTTTTTCCTTTTTTTTTTTTTTTTTTTTTGAGATGGAGTCTCGCTCTGTCGCCCAGGCTGGAGTGCAGTAGCCGGATCTCAGCTCACTGCAAGTTCTGCCTCCCGGGTTTACGCCATTCTCCTGCCTCAGCCTCCCGAGTAGCTGGGACTATAGGCGCCTGCCACCTCGCCCGGCTAGTTTTTTGTATTTTTTGATAGAGACGGGGTTTCACCGGGTTAGCCGGGATGGTCTCCATCTGACCTCGTGGTCCGCCCGTCTCGGCCTCCCAAAGTGCTGGGATTACAGGCTTGAGCCACCACGCCCGGCCGCTATTTCCTTTTTATAAGTTTTTTTGTTTTAAAATTCTGCTCTTGATTAACCTTTTAGACTTTTAAAAAATGCTAATAGACCCAAAACTTAATATATCTCTAGGTCGTACAAGAGCGAAATGACACTCAGAGGCAACTTTCTCGAGAACAGAATGCCAGAATGTTACAAGATGGAATTCTGACCAATCACCTTTCCAAACAAAAGGAGATTGAAATGACTCAAAGGAAAATGAATTCTGAGGTATTTCTATTTCCTTTAGTCATTTTCAAATATGTGTATATATTTATTTGTGTGTGTATATGTATTTGTATGTGTATATATTTTAAAAACCAACTATATATGCATCTTGGAAAGTATTGAGGATTTTTAAGCCATATATGTATATCTTGGGGGTGGTGGTAGCGTTTTTGGTCCATTGGATAAAGTGATGTTCTTAATTCAGCTCCACTTGTCTGCAGCAGTCAAGTAACAACATTCAGAATGACCTCATCCAAAGGAGAAGCTTTTAATATCTTCCATAGGAATTGATGGTCTTTCCACAATCTCAAAACCCTTGCTACTAACAATAAATGCTTGAGTTTTTGGAAGTGATTTCATCACCTTGATATATTAATGGAGAGGTTAGTTTATTACTTCCACCCACAGGAAGGGAGGAAAAGTACAGCCAGTTCAGAGACCATATTTTGGATATTAATCTTCTCACTTTTGAGAAGAGTAATAGTGTGCTGCAAGTAGTATCTTATTTTGGTACAAAGAGCTTTTGAAACAATGATATGCCATGATATATACTTAGTGATAATTTAGTAATAAGTATTTTGTTCCTAGTAAAACAGTTCGGCATATTTCTCCCTGTTTCACATTATTACAGTTTCAAACATTATGAAGAGGAAACAAAAGTTATTGTGACAACAAATCATCTCATGATTTTCTAAGAGGAGCTCTACAGATTTTGTCCTATTTACCATTAGTGTTGTGAAATAAAAGTCTTCTTTTGTATTTAAATATTTATACCACAGAAATAACTGATTTAGTGAAAGAAGACTACAAATAGAGTCAGAAGCCCCAGGGAAAATCATACAGCTGCTTATATTTTTTTTAACTTTTCCTTTTCAAAATCGTGATACTAAATGAGTCCATTGATATAGTAGAAGTGCTTAGGACAATGCCTAGATTTATTATTCATCAATAAACTTAATTGTTATAACTGACTATAAAGATGTGAGAAAACTAGAATATAGAATATTCTCAGAAAAAAGAAACCTGAAAAACTGCGGGAAATTTCGTCTGTCCAGATATATGCAGAGCCAAGGCTCTTACTATGGGTTGGTGTATGGGTTAGATATCAGAATATAAACCCAATTTTTTAATGTGATCAAATTATTAATCTTTTATGCTTTTGAATTTGTTGTACTTCAGGGAAAGGCCTTTCCAATTCTGAGATTCTTAAAAATTTTCTAGTGATTTCTGTTTTACTTTCATGGATTAATTGTCTTCAAATAAATTTTTGAACTTTGGGGAGTTAATGCTCTATAAGGTTTGAGTTTTGATCCAACTTTTTTTTTCAATTGGATATACACTTGTTGCAACCCTTTATTGTAAAATGTACAGCTTATTCTTTAATTTCAAAGGAAATCATGATATGTCATTTTCTTGGGTGCTAACTCAAAGTTTCCTTTGTTTTACTTAGAATTCTCATAGTCATGAAGAAGAAAAAGACCTACTGCATAAAAATAGCATGTTGCAGGAAGAAATTGCTATGCTAAGACTAGAAATAGACACGATAAAAAATCAAAACCAGGAAAAAGAAAAGAAATGTTTTGAGGACCTTGAAATTGTAAAAGAAAAGAATGAAGACCTTCAGAAGACTATAAAGCAGAATGAGGAAACATTAACACAAACAATATCCCAGTATAATGGACGGCTTAGTGTTCTGACAGCTGAGAATGCAATGCTAAATTCTAAACTGGAGAGTGAAAAGCAAAGCAAGGAAAGACTAGAAGCAGAAGTTGAATCATACCGTTCGAGATTGGCTGCTGCTATACATGATCGTGATCAAAGTGAGACATCAAAAAGAGACCTAGAACTTGCTTTCCAGAGAGCAAGAGATGAGTGGTCTCGTTTACAGGACAAAATGAATTTTGATGCGTCTCACCTAAAAGATAACAATGAGATTCTTTCTCAACAACTATTTAAAACTGAAAGTAAACTCAATAGCCTAGAAATTGAGCTCCATCACACAAGAGATGCCCTCAGAGAAAAGACTTTGGGTTTAGAACGGGTACAAAAGGACCTAAGCCAAACCCAGTGTCAAATGAAGGAAATGGAACAAAAGTATCAAAATGAACAAGTTAAAGTGAATAAATACATTGGAAAGCAGGAGTCTGTAGAGGAGAGATTGTCTCAACTACAAAGTGAGAATATGCTGCTTCGACAACAACTGGATGATGCCCACAACAAGGCTGACAATAAAGAGAAGACAGTGATTAATATTCAAGACCAGTTTCATGCTATTGTGCAAAAACTTCAAGCTGAGAGTGAAAAGCAAAGTCTTCTGCTAGAAGAAAGAAATAAGGAGTTAATCAGTGAATGTAATCACTTAAAAGAAAGACAGTATCAATATGAAAATGAAAAGGCAGAAAGAGAAGTAAGTATCAAGAAAGATAAATATTTTTCAAACCTCCCGAAAGAAAATTTAAAATAATATACAGTTATGTAGTTAACTATAAAAATAAATAGATAAGCTTATTTACGCTGTCAGTTTAGAAACATCCCTTGTTTTCAGCAAATAAAAGAGCTGAGAGATGCTTTACTTTGAGTAAAGACATTGTATCATCTATGAAATTTTGAGTTTTAAGTTATGAGCTGTTAATAGACTAGTATGAATAGTAAACTAATGTGAATAATGTAGTCTTTTACTGCTGAAGATAAAATTTTAATGTCTTTATGTTGCCACATCTTAAGAACATTTCCATTTATCTGCCACCATGAAACAGATAAATGGAAATACTCATACCTGAAATGAGTATTTTGAAATTAAGATTCAATTAAGTGTGTTATTTTGACAGTTAATTCCAGATTTCCCAGATAAATTGAAGTATATTGCTGTATCTCTTAATACTTTTCTGTCAGTAGCTTTTTATATATTTCAGTTGATGTAATTTTATTTTTATTCTTGTCAATTTGAATTGTCTAAAAAATCAGTAACAAAAATGTCTTATCAGGTTGTTGTGAGACAACTTCAACAAGAACTGGCTGATACCCTAAAAAAACAATCTATGTCAGAGGCTTCACTGGAGGTTACATCACGTTATCGTATTAATTTAGAGGATGAGACACAGGATTTAAAGAAGAAATTAGGTCAAATCAGAAATCAAGTATGTATGAAATTTAACATGTCAACAGTTAATCTATAACTGGTAAATATATAGTGTTTTATCATACTAATTTAGTAGGTAACCTTCTTTTGTATTTTCGTTATAATTAATTTAAATTTTATTAACTTTTTATTTTCTTTGAGATGGAGTCTCGCTTTATCGCCCAGGCTGGAGCATGGTGGCACGGTGGCACGATGTCGGTTCACTGCAAGCCCCACTTCCCAGGTTCACACCAGTCTCCTGCCTCAGCCTCCCGAGTAGCTGGGACTACAGGTGCCCGCCACCACGCCTGGCTAATTTTTTGTATTTAGTAGAGATGAGGTTTGACCGTGTTAGCCAGGATGATCTCCATCTGCTGACCTCGTGATCCACCCGCCTCAGCCTTCCAGTGTGCTGGGATTACAGGCGTGAGCCACCGCACCTGGCCTAAATTTTATTATCTTTATAATACACTTGCTGCTTTTTTTTTTTTTTTTTGAGACAGCCTCACTCTGTTGCCCAGGCTAGAATACAGTGGCACTGTCTCAGCTCACTGCAACCTCCACCTCCCGGGCTCAAGTGATTCTCCTGCCTCAGCCTCCTGAGTAGCTGGCATTACAGGGTGCCAGCATGCCCAGCTAATTTTTTTTTTTTTTTTGCGACAGAGTCTCACTCTATAGCCCAGGCTGGAGTGCAGTGGCATGATCTTGGCTCATTGCAACCTCCGCCTCCTGGGTTCAAGTGATTCTCCTGCCTCAGCCTCCCGAGTAGCTGGGATTATAGGCGCCCACCACTAGGCCTGGCTAATTTTTGTATTTACAGTAGAGATAGGGTTTTGCGATGTTGGCCAGGTTGGTCTCAAACTCCTAACCTCAGGTGATCCACCCTCCTCGGCCTCCCAAAGTGCTGGGATTACAGGAGTGAGCCACCACGCCTGGCCTAATTTTTGTATTTTTAATAGAGACACGGTTTCACCATGTTGGCCAGGCTGGTCTCGAATTCCTGACCACATGTGTTCCACCTGCCTGAGCCTCCCAAGTGCTGGGATTACAGATGTGAGCCACCGCACCTATCTTGTTTATTAAACTCTGACTTTCATTCTGCCATTTTTTCTTATGATTACACATTTAAAAAAATAATATTTACCCTTACGAAAGTTGAGAATTATACATCATTCCTCATGGAAGTTGAGAGAGTTTTTTTCCTGTTAAACAGTATTTTATAGTGATTTTTCTATTGTCATGGTGAAGCAAACCAGATTAAGTTAGAGGATAATGTTTAATGGAATGTTCCAGAAAATTGTCTTATTTTTATTTTCACTTTTGTGAATGGATACAGAATCTGTGTTGATTTATTTTATGGATTTCAAATTAATTTGTACAGAAAGGCCATTAACTTTTCTCCAAAATACAAATATTTTAATAAACTATTTAAAATAGGCATTTCCTTCATTTTCCTTTCATTTAAAATATATTATAAAAACATAGAAGTATTTAGATTATGTATAGTATGTATATCTAAAGTAGAGAATTAAAATTATCTAGATCCCTCTTTTGGATTTTTAAAAAACAACATTGAGATATAATTTGCATACCATACAGTTCACTCATTTAAGGTGTAAAATTCAGTCTCTTAGATTATTTACAGAGTTGTGTAACCATCACCATAGTCAATTTTAGAACATTGTTATCACTCTGAAAAGAAACCCCACATCCCTTAGCCATCACTACCATCCCCGTCCGTGTCCCTCCACCTTCTCCAGTCCTAGGCAATCACCATCTACTTTTTGTCTCCTTAAATTTGTCTGTTCTGAACATTTCATATAAATAGAGTCATACAATATGCAGTCTTTCATGAGTGGCTTCTTTTACTTAGCATGTTTCTGGGGTTCATCTGTGTTGTGGCACATATCAGTACTTCATTTCTTTTTATTGTCGAATAATATTCTATTGTATGGCTATACCAGTTATCCATTCATCAGTGGATGGGCCTCTAGTTTGCACTTTTTGGCTACTATAAATAATGCTGCGATGAACATTCATTTATAAGACATGTTTTTATTCTCCTGCCACTGGATTTTATCCTCAGGGTTATTCGGGCTGCTTTCACCATCTCCCTGCTTTACTTCTGCTGTTCTTCCTGTCTTTGCAGTTTGTATTCGTCTAGCCTCATTCCTTCAGACCTGGCACACAATTCCCCCTCCTTTGGGAAGCTTTCTCTGACCGTTCTGGCTCTCATTGACCTCACATTTTAGCATTTTTTATCTAGTCTGTGTAGAACAATTTGCCCTTAATTTAACTTCAGTTTTATTTTTTTCATGAGAGAGAAACTCATCTAATTATAAATTTGCCTGCGAGGTGAATAATATCTGATATGCCTGTCACGTATTCTTGTATAAATTGAAAATATTTTAGCTTAGCAATTGTTAGGTTAAAATCACTTTATATTATACTAAGAATTTCTTTTTTGAGACGTTGATATAATAAAGCTTTTATTCTATTTTTATTATTTTATTTTTTTACAAGCTCATGACTAACATAGGTGGTTATTCTAAATATATTTTAAGTAATTAAATATAACTGGAAACCACTTAATCTAATAAAGGAAAGTTATTCAATCAAATGCTCATGTTTTTCTCACTATAAAAAAAATCTAAATTTACATTTCTTTATTATGTAGCCAGAGCTGGGATTCATAGATTCATACCACTTTACCACCCAAAGAGCTCTGGCTGCAGCTTTTCTGATATGCCATGTGACATAACCTTAGCCTTAAGCTCATCAGAGTGCTTGCTAAAGCAGCTCAGCACAGATACTTGTTGGGAATGACTTGATTTAGGAACCTTGTTCTGCAGTAGAGTCCATTGTTTTTAGTCCAGTGCTCTGATGGCCATGTAAGTTATGTACTACTCATTCCAGGAGGTGCTGTTTACATTGTGGTCATCGCCCACTGAGGAGAGCAGAGACAAAGTAATCTATAATTGTTTAAAGTACTGTTGGCTAGTGGAATTGGCGAAAGTTCTGTGAAGCACTAGGGGTGTATTCTGGGCCTCATGCTCCTCATTTGCTTTCACTTCCAGTGGTGTGAAGAATGATTCAGTGTAGCTATAGGAGACCACTTCCATTGGCATGCCAGCTGCCTAAAATATACAGTTTTATTAGAACACAAAATACAGTAAAAATCACAAAAACAGCAAATATCATATATAGCTCACTATATGCCATGTACTCATCTAAGTACTTTATGTGCATATTCTTTGACTGAATCATCTTACCATCCCTGTGAAATAGATACTATTACTGTCACCATTTCTATTTTACCGATGAAGAAACTGAGACACTGAGCATTAATTTGCTCAAGGTCACACAGCTTACCATCCCAGTGAAATAGATACTATTACTGTCACCATTTCTATTTTACCGATGAAGAAACTGAGACACTGAGCATTAATTTGCTCAAGGTCACACAGCTTACCATCCCAGTGAAATAGATACTATTACTGTCACCATTTCTATTTTACCGATGAAGAAACTGAGACACTGAGCATTAATTTGCTCAAGGTCACACAGCTGGTAACTGGTGGAGCTGGGATTCCCACCCAGCTATTCCAGCTTCTGTGTGGATACTGCCTCTCAATTTCATGAAACATCTAGTTGTCAACTAACATGTCATCATGTTAATTTTTATAATCACTGGCATCGCCATGGTCATTCACATCTATAAATATTAAAATTCTAGTTGATGTGGTGGTGCTTGGAATGCAAAAATATAGATGCTTACCATAAGGTAATTTCCTGTCTTTCTCCATTTTACCAAGTTTGTAAATTTGAGTATTTATCTGATAAAATATAGTTTGAAAACAAGAATAATGTGTTTTAGTTGTAGAACACAGGTTGATAAACTTTTCTGTAAAGGGCCAGATAGTATTATTTTAGACTTTGGGAGCCATGGATACCTGCTGCAGCAAATCAGCTCTACAGCCACAGCACAAAAGTAGCCATAAACTATGCGTATTAAAGGAGTGTGACTGTGTTCCAATACAGTTTAGTTACAAAAAGAGGTGGTGGGCAGATTTTAGTAGATTATTATTTAGTAGATTATTTTACTAGATTATTAGTAAAGTGGTTTTTTTTTTATTCTTTGTTTTAGTTGCAAGAAGCACAGGATCGACATACAGAAGCTGTCAGATGTGCTGAGAAGATGCAAGATCACAAGCAAAAGTAAAATTTAAAGCAGCACACAGAAAAACGTGATTATTTATAGAGCAAATAAGCAGTTATTTATAGAGCAAATAAGCAGTGTAGTAGGAGAATTATATCAGCTATGATCATAGGTACATCTGTGTGAAGTCAAGGAAAAATTTCAGCATTAAGCAATTTTGAAATGCACTTTTTAAATATTATCCTAGAATTTTGTGCATTATCCACAAACCACAACTAGAAAAATGATAGTTGCCGAATCACCTACTTTTGAAATCTTTAAGCATTTATGTAATTATGCCTTCAGGTATTTGCTAAGAAATTACACAGTATTTTAAAAATTTATCTGTGAGAATAATTATTCTAAAATATACATTGCAGGCTTGAAAAAGATAATGCCAAGTTAAAAGTTACAATCAAAAAGCAAATGGACAAAATTGAGGAGCTTCAGAAAAACCTGTTAAATGCAAATTTGGTAAGTCAACCTCTTAATTTCTGTCATAGTGAAAAGGAATTTTATTGCTTTAGTAAGAGAAGTGGAGTATCCCTTATTTAAAGTACTTGAGGCTAGAAGTATTTCACATTTTGGATTTTTTTTTAAATTTTGGAATATTTGTATGTACATAATGAGATATCTTGGAGACAGGACCCAAATCTAAACATGAAATTCATTTGTGTTTCATATATACCTTATATATGTAGCCTGAAGTTAATTTTATGTAATATTTTTAAAATAATGTTATGCATGAAACAAAGTTTTGACCATGTTTTCACTGTAATATGTCACATGAGGTTAGGTATGGAATTTTCCATTTGTGGCATCCTGTCCACACTCAGAGTTTCAGAGTTTGGAACATTTTGATTTTCAAATTTTCAGATGTTCCTCAACTGATAGATGGGGTTACATCCTCATAAACACATTATAAGTTGAAAATACTATAAGATGAAATTTAATACACCTACCAAACATGATAGCTTAGCCTTAAACCTGCTCTGAACACGTACATTAGCCTACAGTTTGACAAAATCATCTAATACACAGTCTATCTTATAATAAAGTATTGAATATCTCATATACCACATATTGCTAGCCAGGGAAAAGATCAAAATTCAAAATTTGAAGTTTGTTGAAATTGTGATGGTTTCACACCATTGTAAAGTCAAAATATATTAATAAGTTGACCCCTGGTAAGTCAATCCAAATTGTAGTGGTTTCACACGCTCTTATAGTCGAAAAACCATAAGTTGGACTGTTGTAAGTTGGGGACTATCTGTATGTAAGAATATTTTAGATAATATGATAATCTTCATTGATGAAAGTATTTATTGTATTCATGGTAATACTGCTTGCTACTAGTAGTACAAGTCTTAACGTTATAGAAGTTGACTGAATTCATAACATGAATGAATTTGGTAGTAAGATTTTTAATATAAAAGATTGTGATAGCCTAAAAACAGTGTTTTTTATGTACATTTTGTTTGTTCATTCATCCATTGATGGACATTTGGATTATTTCTGTCTTTTGCTTATTGTGAATAATGCTGCTATGGACATTGGTGTACAATTGTGAGTCCCTGCTAATGCTTATAATGTCTTTTGAAATTTTAAGAAATTTGAGTAATGATTTGATCTACAATTTGAATTTCTTTTATAATCTAAATTTGTATTCCTCATCAAGAATGGATACTGGGTCATTATACAAGCATTTTTTCCCCAAAGTAATGTGTTTTTCTCTTTGGATTTTAAAAAAGAGAAACCTGTGAAAAAGTAGAAATGGCTGCTCCAACAGGACATCACAGAATAACACAGTGCTCCTAGCACTGCAGATTCAGAAACTTCTTTTCCCATTTATCTGTGTTCATCAATCTTTCAAAACCTTAACAGTCCCTGCTGGGCACAGTGGCTCATGCTTGTAATTCCAGCACTTTGGGAGGCTGAGACGGGGTGGATCACCTGAGGTTAGGAGTTTGAGACCAGCCTGGCCAACATGGCAAAACCCTATCTCTACTGTAAATGCAAATATTTGCCATATTCCTTACTCATGCCAGGCATGGTGGCAGGTGCCTGTAATCCCAGCTACTCGGGAGGCTGAGGCAGGAGAATTGCTTGAACCCAGGAGGTGGAGGTTACAGTGAGCTGAGATTGCGCCATTGCGCTCCAGCCTGGGTGACAGCGAGACTCCGTCTCAAAAAAAAAAAAAAAAAAAAAAACCTGAAAAAACCGAAACAGTCTAGTCTCAGAAAAGTTGGCTGTGTAATCCACAATACCAATTTATTGATGTACCAATTTAATGATGTATTTATTGATGTTCTGCTTGATGTTTAACAAGCAGAACAGGATTCTCTGGTCATTCATGCTTTCCTGTGTAGAAATGAAGATCAGAAGGTTGCATTGTGAATACTAAAGTGGAGCAATGAGGTTGATGCTTCTACTAATGAGTTTCTTGAAGTCACAATAGAAAGATTTATGCGACTCTCGTATACAGATATATCTATCAGAAGAAACATCGACAAGTTTTTTTTCTAGATTTCATGTGTTAGTCCTACTTTATTGGCATCCTTTTCACACAAGTGACATGGCAATATATTGATATGAAGTCTCCTGTGAATGAGAGTATGGGGGGGACATCCCCTTATATGGGTGTCGTCCATGAATATATCAATGTCTCAGAAATGGAAAATTTAGTAAAAGTACTCAAAACCTGCTAAGCGTATTCAAAAATAATGCAGGATTTTCTGTAGATTCCCATAGAAATGAGTAAGGAATATGGCATATTATTAGTACACTTTGAAGTGTACACTGTGAATCAAAAATTTAATAGAGACAGCTTTCATCCAACTCATCAATAGCCCCTAACTTTTCCAGAAGGTTCTCATCTCATGTCTTTATGGAAGACGGAATTATTCAAAAGAAAGCAGAGGCAAACAATCAATAATCTGTCCCTTGTGGAAAAGTTTTGCATTATAAAAGAAAAACAAAGACAAAGTATGCTGGTCGACATCCTAAGGGTGAGTGTGCGCACCCAAGATGAGAAAATAACACTATACTCAAAATAACACCAGTAAGAATCAACATAAAATGTACAAAATTAGCTATCTACAAAAGGAATCTGCACCAAGTAATGGTTTATGGGTGTGTGGTTGAGAATATTAGTTGTTTATGGAAGTGAACTAGAAGGAAGAGACCTCAGGAAAGAGGTGTGGGATGGAAATCTAGATGAGGGAATCTGGGATGAAGCCTTGAGATTTAAGGAGCTCTTAGAGAATTTAGAAGAGAAATGGAAGAGGACAGAACTCAGCATGAGGGGTGGCTGCATTTAGAAATGAAGTGGGGTCAGAGCAGTCTGGGAGAGGGTATGGTCACTGTTAGTAGTTGCTACTGAGAAGCAAAGCAGATTAAAGATTAAAAAATAGGGCCTTGATGATTTTCAGAATTTTAAAATGAGAATTATAAGATTGAAAATTAGATTTTAGTATAAAAGAAGACAAGTGATGAAAAAGTAGATCTCTAGATGAGACCATGTATTAAAAAATATTAGAGTCTGGCGAGCACTGTGGCTGACACCTGTAATCCCAGTGCTTTAGGAGACTGAGGCAGGAGGATTGCTTCAGACTAGGAATTGAGACCAGCCTGGGCAGCATAGCAAGACTCTGTCTCTAAAAAATATAAAATAAATCAGCCAGTGTGGTGGTGCACGCCTGTTCTCCTAGCTGCTGAGGAGGCTGAGGTGGGAGGATTGCTTGAGCCCTGGAGTTCGAGGCTGCAGTGAACTATGATTGCACCATTGCACTACAGCTTGGTTGACAGAGTGAGACCCTATTACAAACAAACAAACAAACAAACAAAAAGGAAAGTCCAGTGGAAAAACGGGATGATTAAAAATGCCACAAGAATCAGGCAAAAGTTATGTTTTTGTTTATTGTGGAGAAGACAAACTTTATTTAAAGAGAAATGGTTAATAGAAAAGGAAAAATTGAAACTCATGGAAGAATGTTTATAAAGAATGAGAGATAACTCATCTTGAAGTCAGGTGAATATAAAAAATGTAATGGGAACCAGATGAAGGTTTTCTAAAAATTTTCTTAGTAAGATTTGATTTAACAAAAACTGGAATATCTTGAACTATTGATGACAATGTTTCTAGAGCAACTTTAGAAACGAGAACATACATCTAAAATAACTTTAAAAAAAATGTCATTAACACTTAGTATTTTATGTGTAAAAACTTCTATTTTTAACAAATAAATTTTGGTAATTTAAGTTCCAGAAAAGAAATATGAGCTGTTTTAAGAAAAGTCGTTTTTGAAATCTGTTCTTATTGGTATCAGGTTTATAAACTGATAAACAGTTTATAAACTGTGTTTTATAAACCTCCCTAAACATATGTTACTCATGAACTCATGAGAAATAATAGTTTTAAGAACAAAAGTGTTTCTAGAGTTTTAAAAATAATTGAAAATATTTTGTTTCAAAGTCTGAAGATGAAAAGGAACAATTAAAGAAACTTATGGAATTAAAACAGTCTCTGGAATGTAATTTGGATCAGGAAATGAAGAAAAATGTTGAATTAGAAAGAGAGATAACTGGGTAAGATTTTAGTATTTCAGATCATTTTAACCATTTAATTGATTTAACTATAATTTTACTTTATTCAAAACTAGATACAAATTCATTTAATATCTACTTTTTCTTAATGAAATTATTCTCTTTTAAAATTGTTTTAGAAAGTTGCAGCACAATCTGAAACTTTTTGAATGCCTAAATATTACACTTATTCTTCAGTGATTTTGAAAACAGTAACAATGCCTTTGGCATATAATGTCAACTTCTCTCTTCATCTTTTACTTCGAACTTTTATTTCTGAAGATATTTTCATTCTCTTTGGTAATCTTTCTCTCTTTGGTAGTGTCCAAAGATATTCAGATCTTTTAATATCTGAAAACCTATCTGTATCACATCAAAAATTATCTTGATTTAGCTTATGCTTTCTTTCTGCCTCTTTTGTGTGTGTGTGTAGTTATAAAATATATCATGGAAATTTACTCATGGAAATTTCGCATGGATAGCTCCCATGTTTACCATGTTTACCTGAGGTATACATGTTATTAAACTTCTGTTTGTTTTAAAACACATATGCCTCATACATATACAAATCTATGTATGATTTAAGAGTAAAATGAACAATCATGTTTTTACTATCCAGATTTAAAAATGGAATGTTACCCGTTGTCTTGGAAGCCCCAACAAGGCTGCTTTTCTATTTATTTGCTGAGTACTTACGTTTGTTCGATTCTAATTACTATTTTTCTCTCATTGTCTTTCTCTGACATGGTTTTGCATCCCTTTTACTTTGTTAGCATTGTGCTAGTAAAGATTTCTAGATCTCTTCTGACATGCTCTCTCTGCTCATTTCCTTTCTTCTAAAACTCTGTTTCCTTTTCCCCTTAACTCAGACATCAAAGATGTTTTCTTTCCTGTCTCTTGTCTACTTTGAATGATCTTGATGTTTTTTATTTATATTTTCTTTTTTTTGTACTTTTATTCTTATAAACTGTGGTCAGTGGATATCAAATGTATTTTTATGTCTTTTCCAACCATTTATGTATAAGTATGTATATGCTTTGCTTTGCTTTTTTCGGGAGTCTCTCTGTTGCCCAGGCTGGAGTGCAGTGGTGCAGTCGCAGCTCACTGCAACCTCCACCTCCTGGGTTCAAGCAATTCTCCTGGCTCAGCTTCTTGAGTAGCTGGGATTGTAGACATGCAACACCAAGCACAGCTAATTTTTGTATTTTCAGTAGAGACGAGGTTTCACCATCTTGGCCAGGATGGTCTTGAACTCCTGAGCTCAAGTGATCCACCTGGCGCGGCATCCCAAAGTGCTGGCATTTTAGGCATGAGCCACTGAGTTCAGCCTAAGTATGTTTTTCCTCTTCACCTTGGACGCTGATCTCTGGGTTATAGCTAATATTTGATGACAGGTTAATGTTTTATATTAACATTAAAATGGATAGGAATAATTTACAAAAACTCGATGTGATTACAATATTAACTCTTAATCTGCCATATATGTCATATAATTTTTCTTCACATTATTTACCTAAGATTATAATTTCATTAGAGTGTTTTCAAACTATGTCAGATTGAAATAAACGAGAGAATCATGATTTATACATTTCTGTCTCTTATATGCTAAAACATACCTGTTTAAATAATTATTAAATGTTTGCCTTTTTAAAACTTGAGTTACTCATTTTGTACCTTCCTGCAGATTTAAGAACCTCTTAAAAATGACAAGAAAGAAGTTAAATGAATATGAAAATGGAGAACTTAGTTTTCATGGAGATTTAAAATCTAGTCAATTTGAAATGGATATTCAGATTAATAAGCTAAAACATAAGGTAATTTTTAATAAGTTTTGGGACCAAAAAAATCACTTAATTTTGGGAAATATAGACTTCTCAATACTTTGAACAGTGAAATAAAGATTTTTTTTTTTAACTTTAGGGACTTGATACTAATAAAGAAAACTTTTATTTTTTTTAAGTTCGGGGTACATGGGCAGGTTTGTTATATAGTTAAACTTTTGTTTCGGGAGTTTGTTGTATAGATTATTTTGTCTCCCAGGTATTAAGCCTAGTGCCCATTAGTTATTTTTCCTGATTCCTCTCCCTTCTCTCATCCTCCATCCTCTAGGAGGCCCCAGTGTCTGTTGTTCCCCTCCATGTATCCATGTGTTCTAATCATTTAGCTCCCACTTAGTAGTGAGAACTTGCAATATTTGGTTTTCTCTTCCTGTGTTAGTTTACTAAGGATAATGGCTTCTAGCTCTGGACATAGGAACAGGCAAAGATTTCATGGCCAAGACACCAAAAGCAATTGCAACAGAAGCAAAAATTGACAGAATCTAATTAAACTAAAGAGCTTCTACAGAGCAAAGGAAGTATCAGCAGAGTAAACAGACAACCTACAGAATGGGAGAAAATTTTTGCAAACTATGCATCTGACAGAGGTGTTATATCCGGCATCTGTAAGGAACTTACACAAATTTACAAGGAAAAAACAACCCCATTAAAAAGTGGGCAAAGGACATGAATAGACACTTCTCAAAAGAAGACATACATGCAGCCAAACAAACATGATAAAAAGCTCAACGTCATTGATCATTAGAGAAATGCAAATCAAAACCTCAACAAGATACCATCTCATACTTGCCAGGAAGGCTATTATTTTAAAAAGTCAAAAAAATAAACTATTCATCTGACAAGGGACTAATATCCAGAATATACAAGGAACTGAACTTGACAGCAAAAAGAATAAATAATCTAATTCAAAAGTAGGCAAAAAATCTGAAACAGACATTTCTCATAAGAAGACACACGAATGGCCAAAAGGTATATGGAAAAAATACTCAACATCACTAATCATCAGGGAAGTGCACATCAAAACCACCAAGTGATACGATCTTATTCCAGTTAGAATCGCTACTATCAAAAGACAAAAAATAACGAATGCTAGCAGGGCTGCAGAGAACAGGGAACTCTTAGACATTGTTGGTGGGAATGTAAAGTAGTACAGCCATTATAAAAAACAATGTGGAGTTTTTTCAAAAAACTAAAAATAAAGCTGCCATATGATGTAGTCATTCTACTATCAGGTATTTATCCAGGAAAAAGGAAATCAGCATATCAGAGGGATATCTGCATTCCCATGTTGATTGCAGTACTAATCACAGTAGCTAAGATGTGGAATCAACCTAAATGTCCATAGACAATGGAAAAGAAAAATATGGTGTATACAGATACATAAAGATGAAAACAACAGACACTGAGGTTTCCAAGAATGCAGAATCTGTACCAAGAAGTGTGTTCAGAATCTGGGTGACAGGATCAATAGAAGTCCAAACCTCGGCATCTTGCAGCGTAGTAACAAGCCTGCATGTGTACCCTTTCAATCTAAAAATGGAAATTTTTTTTTTTTAAATAAAAAGATTTGGAGGCTGGGCACGGTGGCTCATACCTGTAATTCCAGCACTTTGGAAGTAAGGTGGGCCACCCACCTGAAGTCACAAGTTCGAGACAAGCTTTGACAAAATGGCAAAACCACGTCTCTACCAGAAATACAAAAAAACTAGCTGAGCGTAGTGGCATACGCCTGTAGTCCCAGCTACTTGGGAGACAGAAGCAGGAGAATTGCTTGAACCCAAGAGGCGGAGGTTGCAGTGAGCCAAGATTGCGCCATTGCACTCCAGCCTGGGCGACAAGAGTGAAAATCTGTCTCAAAAAAAAAACCAAAAAACAAAAAACGATGTAGTGTATATACACAATGGAATACTATTCAGCCATTAAAAAAAAAGAATGAAATCATGTCAGTAACATTATGTTAAGTGAAATAGGTCAGGCAAGGAAGATAAATATCTGAGTTTCTCACTCATATGCAAGTGCTAAAAAGAAAACTGAGCTCATGGAAGTAGAGAGTAGAACTGTGAGTATTAAAGGCTGGGAAAAGCAGGAGGGAGGAGAGGTGGGCAAAGGCGTGGGGAAGGGAGGAGGTGTTGGGTGATGGCTACCAAATTAGAGCTAGCTAGGAGGAATGCGTTCTGGTGTTCTATAGCACCACAGGACAAATACAGTTAAATATATTTATTGTGTTTTTTCAAAAAGCTAAAAAGGATTTTGAATGTTCACAAGACAAAGAAATGATAAATGTTTGAAGTGATAGATATACTAGTCCGCTTATACATTGTATACATCTATTAAAATATCTCTGTAGCCATAAATACATATAATGTTATGTGTCAACTAAAAAGGAAAAAATATTCATCCTATGATAAACCAGAACATGGGCCAACCTCAGTGACTCATTTCTAATGAATAGAATGTGGTAAAGGTGACAACAAGTGACTTAGGCATTAGGTTAGAAGAGGCTTCCTATCTCAGATTCCTTGCCCTTGGAGCCAAGCCCGATCTTGGGAGGAAGCTCGAGACCCAAAGGCAGCCTTGGAGTTCCAGTCCCCCAGGCTTTGAGCTGTGTCCAGGGAACCTGAGGGGAACAGAGACAAGCTGTCCTAGCCAAGATTTTCCCAAACCACAGGTTCCTGAACAGAATAAACGTTTTAAGCCATAAATTTTGGGTACTTTGTTAGGAAGCAATAAGCAGAAAAAAAATGTATGTTACAAAAATAAACAATAAGAAACGTAATAACTTACACAGGAGAAATTAGTCTCATTTAAAGTAGAATCTAATAAATGTTGAGATTAATTTATTTATGGCAAATAGTGTTAAGCAGATAACCAGGAGAAAGACATAAGAGCTATCGAGGAGAAAGTTTTTTCTCCAGATGGAACTCAGAATTAAAGATCTGGAATCAGAACTCTCCAAAATAAAAATTTCTCAAGAAGACTTTAGTAAAACTGAACTGGAAAAATATAAGCAACTCTATCTAGAAGAATTAAAACTTCTAGATAGAGGGGGACTGGAATCTTCTGGTTTGTGCACTAATGTGTCTGGTTGCTGATGGTGGCCGTTGGCTGGAACTTTGGTTGGGGCAGGCACCCCGAGCACCCACGCTGGAATAGTTTGTAAATAGCTTCTTCCATTCTATAGCTTGTCTCTTCACTCTTAATTATTTCCTTTGCTGTGCAGAAGCTTTTCAGTTTAATATTGTCTCATTTGTCTATTTTTGGTTTTTTGGCTATGCTTTTGAAAAATAGCCATAAAATCTTTGCCTAGACCAGTGTCCTGAAGCAATTATCCCTGTCTCTTCTTCTAGTAGTTTTATGGTTTCAAGGTCTTACTTTTTTACGTCTGAAATCCATTTTGAGTTGATTTTAGTATATGGTGTTCGATAAGGGCCTAGTTTCATTCTTCTGCATGTGGATATACGGTTTTCCCAGCACCATTTGTTGAAGAGGATGTCCTTTCCCCAATGTGTGTTCTTAGCACCTTTGTTTAAAATCAGTTGGCTGTAAATATATGAATTTATTTCTAGGTTCCTTATTCTGTGGCCTTAACACCAATAATTATTACCCCTTGGAATGCAAGCCAAATTAGCATAAAACATTTGCAGCTCAGGAAAAGGCTTATGGCATTAGAATCTATATTACAGGATTCATTAATTACACTCTTATTCTGGGAGCCATTTTTTTATGAGGCCTAAATAACTCAATAGGAGTTCCCTGAAACTTCTTTAGAAATTGTAGGGCATGTTTATGGGGGAAGCAGTAAGAGACTTTCTGCTACCCCTTAGAGCCATGTAAGGAGGAAAGACAGGAAACAATCATAGAAAAATACAAGTTGAAGATCAAGTGCAAATGTGTGGCCAAGATGCTGGAAATAAGGAATATATTTTTGTGACTCCTGGTGGCTTTGACTTTGTTTATTTTCTGAGTAATTTAAGGGTTCACATTTGAAGAATGTTTTGTGTTTCAGGTGACATTTTATTGCAGCTGAATTTATTTCAAAATTTGTTCTTGGTTTTATGTTAGGCTGTTCTCAAGCTACTTCCTTCATTATCACACTATATTATTGTCTTCTTTCAGATTGATGATCTTACAGCAGAACTGGAGACTGCAGGTTCAAAATGTCTACATCTGGATACAAAGAATCAAGTTCTTCAACAGGAGTTGTTATCTATGAAAACAATACAAAAGAAATGTGAAAAACTGCAGAAGAATAAAAAGAAGTTGGAACAAGAAGTGATCAACCTGAGAAGTCATATAGAAAGGAATATGGTAGAACTTGGTCAAGTCAAACAGTATAAACAGGAGATTGAAGAAAGAGCAAGACAGGAAATAGTAGAAAAATTAAAAGAAGTCAATCTATTTTTACAGGTTAGTTTATGTGTAGTGTGCCTTCATTCATTTCACTGCAAATTGTATTTTGGATAAATACATTATATGTGTTTCCTCTACATCCCTTATAGCAATTTGTTCTATAGATTTCTAGAAAGATGATGGCATCTGTTTCTCCCTTTAGATATTTGAGTTTCCATCATTATTATAACTTAATTGATGATTTAGAATAATGATTTTCATTAGAGAATTATTTGACTATTAAGACCAGTTGGCATAAAACAAAATCATCAGGAAAACAAAATATTGTGATTTAGAAATTATACCGTATTCTTGAATTGTTCTTAAATTACATTGTTCACTTTTTTAAATTTTTAATTAATTTTATTATTCTTTAAATTATCAGAGTTCATGAGTACTAATGAAACAATGATTCAAATGTTTATACCTCAGCCTCCTGGATAGCTGGGACTACAGGTGCATATCACGATGCCTAGCTAAATTTTTAATTCTTATAAAAACAGAGTCTTGCTTTGTTACCCAGACTGGTCTCTAACTCTTGGCTTCAGGTGATCCTCCTGCTTAGGTCTCCCAAAGTGCTGAGATTACAGGCATGAGCCACCAAACCTGGCTGATAAATATTTTAAACTTAAGCTTGTTTTTTCACATATTTAAAATTACTCTCTGAATCAGTAACTCAAAAGTAAAGGAAAAAAAAAGACACAATGATTACCCAGGTTATATATAAATTAAATTTTATTGAGGTATAATGTACAAATAAACACAACCATTTTAACAGTTTGACCCAAGTATATACTTGAATAACCACCCTCTCAACAGAGAACATTTCCAGAAAGTTCTCTCTTGCCCTTTTGTAGTTAATTCCCCCTACTTCATCCCAGGAAACCACTGGGACTTTAAGACAACTTGTGGTGTTTTTGCCTTGAAAAAAAAAAAAAAAAAGAAACAAAGCTGGGCACGGTGGCTCATGCCTGTAATCCCAGCACTTTGGGAAGCCGAGGTGGGCGGATCACGAGGTCAGGAGTTCGAGACCAGCCTGGCCAACATAGTGGAAACCCATATCTACTAAAATTTTTTTTAAAAGTAATTAGCCAGGCGTGGTGGTGCATGCCTGTATTCCCAGTTACTTGGGAGACTGAGGCAGGAGAATTGCTTGAATCTGGGCGGCAGAGGTTGCAGTGAGGCGAGATGGTGAGAGCTAGACTCCATCTCAAATACAAAACAAAACAAACAAATTAGGCTGGGCATGGTAGCTCGCACCTGTAATCCTGGCACTTTGAGGGCTGAGGCGGGAGAACCGCTTGAGCCCAGGAGTTCAAGACCAACCTGGGCAACAAAGTGAGACCCTGTCTCTACAGAAAATTTTAAAAAATAATTAACCAGGCGTGGTGGTGCATGGCTGTAGTCCCAGGTACTTGGGAGGCTGAGGTGAGAGGATCATTTAAGCCCAGGAGTTTTCAAGGCTGCAGTGAGCTATGGTTGTACCACTGAACTGAACCATAGGCAACAGACTGAGACCCTGTCTCTAAAATAAACAAAGCCAAAGAAATGTCTTTCCTCTCTTATCCACATGGGTATATGAGTGCGTGAGTGTGTGTGTGTCTGAGTGAGTGATAAAAATCTACTTCCTTAGTAACGTGAGTTTGTGTGTCTATGAGTCATTAAAACTCAATAATTTAACAAATTTGTTTTAGTTGGGATAAAGAGCGATTGAGAACTGTGCAGGACCCCTGTGCTTATGAGAGAGGATGGAGGGTGCAAACTGGTAGAAAGCATTTGAAGATTAACAGAGAACAAATCTGGGCCACTGGAAAATATGTAGCCGTTGTGAGAATAGAAAGTCTTCGCTACTCATTCTCAGCTTTTTCCCTTCCCTCAGGCTCCTGAGAGATAGGAGTCTTGGAACACAATCTACAAGGCCAAGGTGGTGGTATCCATGATAACACAGGTTTCTTCACATGGTATTTACGATAGTCTTACAAAGCTCTACGTGTTAGCTCTTAGCATGGAATGAGAATAGGGAGAAATCTTAGTGATAAGCCAGTATAGTTTCGCATTTTACAGATGAAGAGACCTAGGGAAAGGTTAAACAGCAGGCCCCAAGCCATAGAGCTAGTCAGGCTCAGGATTACACTCCACGTTCCTTCACTTGTAGTCCAGGTGATTCCATAACCTTATGCTCCAGCAGGTAGAATTACTGTAAGAGATCCAAGACCTTGGGCTTTTTTCTCAACATGCATTGATGTGCACAGCATTTATTCCTAAGAAGCTCTAAGTTCCTATATCTTCCATACAGATGATTGCTTTAATTTACTTTGCCAAGTATATTCATAATATGGAATATCACATCAAAATTTTTAAGCATATTGAAGTCTCCCATGAATATGTTTTAACACAAAAATAATTTTTATACGATTTTCATTCGAAAATACCTACACATTTGTAGTCATTTTCTTTCTTAGGTTTTCCTTATGTTACCAGTTATTTTTTATTTTCCATATAACATCATTAGACATCTGGGTTGCCAATCAGCCTTTATTGTTTTGATTACTTCATCAAAGATGAAAATGCTTCTCTAGTAGAAACTCACTTTCATTTCTTTGGAAGGTGTATTTGGATTCCCGTTTCAGTTAGAGCCCTGGAGTGTCCTCTTATCTCTTTGACCAATGCCTGTTGACACAGAAATCTTTCTCTTTTGGAGTTTGGGTTAAAAACAAAACAGCCCTTAGACACCGAGTAGGTGGCCATGGTCTTACTCAGGTTACATATTTTTAATATATTTTTAAAACACATGCTTTTAATTTGTTTTAGGCACAAGCAGCATCTCAAGAAAACTTAGAGCAGTTAAGAGAGAATAATTTTGCTTCAATGAAAAGTCAGATGGAACTCAGAATTAAAGATCTGGAATCTGAACTCTCCAAAATAAAAACTTCTCAAGAAGACTTTAATAAAACCGAACTGGAAAAATATAAGCAACTCTATCTAGACGAATTAAAAGTTAGAAAGTCCTTGTCAAATAAACTAAACAAGTAAGTCAAAATATAGAATAGGAAATAAATTAAGCTCATTCATTTGCCTTGAAAGCATAATTCTTAGTGAGATAGGTTCGTGAGATTAATGGGAAGTGAAAGCTAACTAGGTAATATAATTTTGGAAAATGTTAGTAAATTAACTTACCTTTAAAATGTGAGTCCAGGACAGTTTATGTCTGTCCTCGGTTTTTTTTTTTTGTTTTTTTTTTTTATGGCTTTTCCGTTAATATTCTTATGTAGTTAACTAGATCTATGTCTTTCAGCTATGTGCTTTTGAAACTCTGTTAATTTAGACATTGACATTGTCATCAAATTGTTTATCAACATTGCCATAAATGTAATTATTAATGAGTTGGGCTGTTTTTTGGAAAATTACAACTTAAACCAGAAGGGTCAAGTATCACTACTACTCTGCACATTCTGGCACTCCATAAATGAACTTTCCTTGATTGTGGTATCTGGTGTTATCACTAGAGGGCGCTGTGAGACAAACTATCCTGTGTAGTTTTTCTACTACTTAAAGGTATGCTAGTGAAATATGATTAACGTAGGGATGAAGGGAAGTATAATTCATAAAGTAGTTAAAAATAACACCTTGGTCGGCCTGAGGGAGTGTGTGGAAAACAGGTCAGGCCCCACCTCTGATGCCTTGGGAACAATGTTAGGAGCTAACTGCCTTTGAGGCTCTTTAGTTCTTTTTGATCACCAACTCAGCTATCTTCTTTTCCCCTAGAATTTTTTGCTCTGAATTATTCCTTGGTGCCAGATGCCTAATATTTTTCCAGATAATGGGTGAAATCAATGTAAAAGGGTGGTGAAAGCAAATGCTTGCACATGTCTTGAGGATTTTTTTTTTAAATCTCTAAACTGGTTTACTAAATACAAGTATTTTTAGCTGGGCTTTTTCCTTTGTTCTTAGTTCTGTTAATTGTATCAAAATGATGTTTTTGATATGTTTGTACATAGTGAAATGGTTATTATAGTCAAGCAAATTAACATATTTATCATCTCACATATTTACTCTTTAAAGACAAGTATTTCTAATGACATCCTCAGGAATCTTACCTGTGGAGCGTTCCAGAAGGCAGCAGGTGTTAACCTGTGAAGCCATACATCATTGGTAGCCATTCTCTTCCCTTCCCTACTTTGCTTGAATTACTTGTTTGTTGGAAACTACCGTAGAAACATATGCACTTCTTTAGAACAGTCTAAAAATTATAATTGCATACAGTAGGCATGCTCTGACACGTTTTTCAGTATTAAAATACTGGTCAGTGGGAAATTTCATTTACTCTTATGGTAACTTTTTAAAAAATGCAAGTCTCCTAGGAATCATTTAGGGGAAAGTAAAATATTAAGCATATGTCTTCTGCAATCTTCACAGAACTAATGAGAGGCTAGCAGAGGTCAGCACCAAACTTCTTGTGGAAAAACAGCAGAGCAGATCTTTGTTCACCACTCTCACTACCAGGCCAGTCATGGAGCCACCTTGTGTTGGAAATCTTAATAACAGTTTAGATCACAACAGAAAACTTATTCCAAGAGAAAACTTAGTGATCTCTTCCTCAAATCCACGGACTTCAAATAATAGCGTGGAGAACTACTTGAGCAAGGTTAGTTATGTTGTCTTTTTTCCTTCAGGTTTCAAATTTCTCATATAAGAATTCTTTTTTTGTTTGTGTTTTTGAGACAGGGTTTTACTGTGTTGTCCAGGCTGGAGTGCAGTGGTGCCATCTTGGCTCACTGCAACCTCTGCCTCCGGGTTCAAGCGCCTCTTGTGTCTTGGCCTCCCAGGTAGCTGGGACTACAGGTGTGTGCCACCACACCCAGCTAATTTGTATATTTTTAGTAGAGACTGGGTTTCACATATTGCCGGGCTGGTCTCAAACTTGTGGTCTCAAATGATCTGCCTGCCCCAACCTCCCAAAGTGCTGGGATTACAGGTGTGAGCCACTGTGCCTAGCCTCAAATTTCTGGTATAATTCTTATTTTTAATTTGGTGAAATACTGAGTTGTTTAATTGACTTATGCTTGATAAGTAAGGGTCATAATTATCTGTGCTAATAAAGTGAGGAAATTTTAGTTTTGTTTTTTTTAAGTCCCTAGAGCTCTCACTTTCAAGAGATACCATTTGTTAACTTTATTCAATAAATGTAACTAAATTGTCACATTTTAAATTTCTTTAAAAGCTGAATTTATTAGAAATGGAATATGACTGCCTATTACCTGATAGTAAAAGGTATACGTTGAGATACTTTGGCTTTCTTTCTAATGGATTTGAGTTTGGCTGTGGTTGATAGCACTTTGATGGTTTTCTGGCACCATCTCAAGTGTTCCACCCTTAATCATAAGTGAACGATTGGCATCCAGACACTTAACCACATATGGAAATTATTATTTAAAGAACTCCAAGATAAATACTTTTTGTGAATTAAACCTCTAACACTGATTAATTTGTATTTTTAAGTTTTGTCATTTTGTTACATAGGATTACATCCTTAGTTGCTATTGTTACAGCATTTTTCTCCCAATTTTTGTAAAATGTGTCTATTACTGGGCAATTGCACAGCAGTTTTTAAATAGTTAAGCAAATATGTGAATTTAAAAAATGCACTTGTGCCATTATTTGAATGATTGATGACTAAGACGGCAGTGATATCAAGTGTGTTTAGTAAGTATGATCAAACAGAATTATTTTCTTCCCACCCAGAATTTCATGTAAAGCCTCACAGGGTCCCCATCTTTACAGTTGCAAGATCCTAGCTAGCCAATATTATGTTCATCATTTTGTTAGCTTAGTTTTGTCTTGCTTTTCTAGGACAATAGAAAACCCATTGAAGAGGAACCTTCCAATCCAACCTTATGATTTCACTCATAGTATGACTCCATTTCTGGGGATCTCAAAATGAATTCAACAATTACAAGTTATAACAATTGTAGACTTGGTAGGGAAAAAAAAATAATTAAACTATGCTTGATCCAGTTTAAGATACTTGTCTAACTTTTGACCATTTTTGACCAGGGGGACAAATTAGAAAAGCTGGTTGCAGTGGTGAACACCTGTATTCCCAGCTACTTGGGAGGCTGGGGCAGGAGGATTGCTTGAGCCCGAGAGTTTGAGGTCGTAGTGTGTTTTTATTGCACCTGTGTGCAATAGTGTGTGTGTTTTTTTTTTTTTTGAGATGGAGTCTTGCAGGCTGGAGTGCAGTGGCCAGATCTCAGCTCACTGCAAGCTCCACCTCCCGGGTTCATGCCATTCTCCTGCCTCAGCCTCCCAAGTAGCTGGGACTACAGATGCCCACCAGCTCGCCCAGCTAGTTTTTTGTATTTTTTAGCAGAGACGGGGTTTCACCGTGTTAGCCAGGATGGTCTCGATCTCCTGACCTCATGATCCACCTGTCTCGGCCTCCCAAAGTGCTGGGATTAATAGTGTGTTTTTATAGCCGCCACACTCCAGCCTGGGCAACATAGCAAGACCCTGTCTCTTAAAAAAATTACAAGATGCATAAGACATTTGTTTGAACAAAAATAAATAAATAACTAGTTCTTGTGTATCATTAAAATATTCATTTTAATCAGTGCACATTAGCTTAAGATTTAATGGTATTTTCATGATCTTAATGCAGAGAAAAATAGTGTAGACTCATGTTAAATGAGACCTCAATGTGGTTTCTTTACCAGGCCTCATGTCCTAACGAATCATAGAAGAGCAAGCCTGAGGTTTTTTAGACAGCACTGCAGCCAAGTGGCTAACAAGAAACAAATTAAATTATTGTTTTAATATATTAATTACAAGATCCTAGCCAGCTAATTTTTTTTCATCATTTTGTTAGCTTAGTTTTGTCTTGTTTTTTTTTGACAATGAGATGATCACGGTCTAAGTGCTTCAGGGTCATGAAATTGTCCTACTGGGTACAAAAAGAAAATGAATGTCAAATACTTCTGTAGGCCAGATGCTCATGCCTATAATCCCAACACTTTGGGAAGCCAAAGCAGGAAGATCGCTTGAGCTCAGGAGTTCAAGACCAGCCTGGGAAACATAGTGAGACATAGTGAGACTTCATTTCTGCAAAAAATTTAAAAAATTAGCTGGGCATGGTGATGCACGCTTGTAGTCCCAGCTTCTCGGGAAGCTGAGGCAGGAGAATCACTTGAGCCCAGGAGGTCAAGGCTGCAGTGAGCTATGATCGTGCTTCTGTACTTTATCCTGGATGACAGTGAGACCCTGTCTCAAAAAAACCAAAACAATAACAAAAAACCTTCTGTAACTTATTAAGCATGATGCAAATATAAAATTTTTTCATTAGTTCCTACCAGAAAACTCAGGTAACAGCATTTTATAAGATGATGAAAGAGTGTATAAATACACAATGTAAGGGAAGATTTTTGAGGAAATATTTTTTCTTGATTTTTTGGGGGGACAGGGGGGTGTTTATTTGTACTATTTCTGGATAAGCTGAAAAATATTCCATTGGTATACATGGTTTCTTTGTGGGGCACTGGTTTGCCAAACCATGTTAGACTTAAAAGAGATTAAAAAGAAGTATTCTATCAAGTCAAGTGTGACTTTCATACCTTAAAAAATTTTTTTTAAAGAAATAGAACTTTTAAAAAATGGCATGAAACTATATTCCATAAAACAGATAGAAGTAGAGCTCTCCGGCTAAAGGAGGGTTAGGAGTTCTGAAGTTGTGACTTCCTTATCCCTTAATCCTACAATATCCTCTGTAGATCCTTAGATTTCTGCGGGACAGTTTGAAAACTACCAGTTATGAAAGAATCCAATTAGCCAAAATTTGTTGGTACATTATTCTTCTATAATTTTATCCTATTCTTAAAAAAGTATACATGAAGTTGCAGATGTGCTCCCTTTATTAATGTTGGACTTCAAGCTACCTCCACCATCTGAAGCATAATCCTCACCTGGAAATAAACAGAAAGTCCATAGAGAAAGGAGGAGCATTTTTTTTTTTTTTTTTGAGATGAAAGGGAGTCTCGCTGTGTGGCCCAGGCTGGAGTGCAGTGGCCGGGTCTCAGCTCACTGCAAGCTCCGCCGCCCAGGTTTATGCCATTCTCCTGCCTCAGCTTCCCGAGTAGCTGGAACTACAGGCGCCCGCCACCTCGCCCGGCTAGTTTTTTGTATTTTTTTGGTAGAGACGGGGATTCACCGCGTTAGCCAGGCTGGTCTCGATCTCCTGACCTCGTGATCCGCCCATCTCAGCCTCCCAAAGTGCTGGGATTACAGGCATGAGCCACCGCGCCCGGCCAGGAGGAGCATTTTTATAAAACATAGTTTATTTATTTTACTCTATAACAGCTTTTGATTTTGTATTATGCATTAAATTATTAGCATAAGAGATTAGTAATTTATTAAGCTTTTTAATTTCCTCTAGCAGTGTTCAGTTTCTCCTAAACTATTGTTCTATCCATTTCAGAAACCATTGATGGCACCTTGTCTACCTCAATAGGACAGTTATTAATGTCACCAATACATTTTTATCTCCTTTTTTCTTCCGTAGTCTGTGTCAGGCACTGTGTTAAGTTATTTAACTGGAGACAATAATTCTAAATTTGTATTAAGGGAAATATGAGGAAAATGTGTGATTTAAATGTGTGATTTAATGATAAAGTAGGAATGAAAGGAAGTTTTTCAAAGTCATTTAATATTTGCCAGTTTTCACTTTGAATATAGGTAAAACCTTCCCAGTTTCCCATCAGCCAGGACAAAACCAGACTTGTCAACACACATGACCCTTTTCCTAAGCTTTCGAGTGTCCCTCCCAGAGCCGCTCCCTCCTGGGTTCTGGGTCTGCCACTTTTCCCTTTGAGCCTTTATGTCTGACCTGGTGTCCTTTTCTCAAAAGTAGTTGCCCTCAGTTGTCATTTATGTGGTAAAATACTCACCACACCCGGCGTGGTGGCCCATGTCTGTAATCCCAGCACTTTGGAAGGCCCAGGTGGGTGGATCACGAGGTCAGGAGTTCAAGACCGGCCTGTCCAATATGGTGAAACCTCGTCTCTACTAAAAAATACAAAAATTAGCTGGGCGTGGTAGTGCACGCCTGTAGTCCCAGCTACTCAGGAAGCTGAGGCAGGAGAATTGCTTGAACCTGGGAGGCGGAGGTTTCAGTGAGCTGAGATTGCGCCAATGCACTCCAGCCTGGGCAACAGAGTGAGGGGGGAAAAATAACCTCTACTTAAATTTGTTACACAAGAAGTATTCTCTGTCTAGACAGTTAAGATTTCTTCAGTATTAGAGTAAGCAATTTGCTAAGAGTATTTCATTTTTATCTAAGCAAAATATACATATTGTGAAAGTATTTGTAAATAGGGTATAAAGAAATAAAATTTATTACACGTAGGAAATATTTAGGAGAAGCGAGAAACTACATTACATTAGTAGTTCCTTAATATAAGTCATGTAAAAATGTATATTTATGTCATGTTTATTAATGAATAGCAATACAAGATTTGTTCAATAAAGGCTTCTCCTTTTATTTGGTATTGAGTTATTACTTTTACAGGACCTGTCTGCTAATGCTGTTGTCACATTATTCAGTTTATAAGGCCTGTCTGTAATGTTACTGTCACAGAAATATATGGAAAACAGTCTTACAAAAAATTAGGAAACCTGTTAGTCAAAAAATTTTATCTTCATGCCTAACATTTTTAAAAGCATTGGATATCATATTATCATTATCACCACAAAGTGCCTGTTATGCTCACTATATAGTGTGCTGTTTCAGACCACGTTCTGGGTATTTAGAGAGAGAATACCTTTTATAAAAAAGATTTAAATAAGAGCATTCTAAATGGGCCACTTGCAATATAGTTTGAAATATTCCCACACATTTCATAGTGAAGTATATAAATAAAATTAGATGTTTAAAAAATTGGTACTAATTTTTGAAATCAAAATTACAATTAAAGAGCTATACATATTTTTTTTGTTTATAATTCTACCAAGTTGTGAATCAAAGAAACTAAACTGAAAAACTAGCTTTAACTTATATTTATCACTTTTTGAGCAAATTTTCTGAAATCTTTGTGTTTACATGAATAAAGAAATGTTACTTATAATATATAGGTAAGATAATACTTATTTTCACTTACTTTTTTGCCAGTAGAATTTTCACATGACATTATGATAGTATCACTTTCTTCATGTATATATTGATGATTTTGTACCAAAAAATAGCATAGAACATACTTTAAAATTTTAATTTTCTAAAAGTAGACAATAGAAAGTGTTTTATTTGTTTTTGTTTGTTTTTTTTTTTTTTTGAGATGGAGTCTCGCTCTGTTGCCCAGGCTGGAGTGCAGTGGCGCAATCTCGGCTCACTGCAACCTCCACCTCCTGGGTTCAAGCAATTCTCCTGCCTCAGCCTCCTGAGTAGCTGGGACTACAGGTGCACGGCACCATACCTGGCTAATTTGTTTTGTATTTTAGTAGAGATGGAATTTCACTATGTTGCCCAGGCTGGTCTCGAACTTCTGAGCTCAGACAATCTGCCTGCCTTGGCCTCCCAAAGTGCTAGGATTATAGATTTGAGCCACTGTGCCCCACCAGAAAGTTTATTTTAAGGAAAAATCCATTAAAGTGAAAAAACTGATTAAGCTTTATAAAGGTCAGAGTTTTGCTAAGAATTTCAAAGTAATGCATTCATTGCAAACTATGACTTCAGTTGTTTAACCTTGTACTAAAAAGAGAAAATATCACCTTTCTGACATTATGTATATGCAATAGACCAATATTAATTGTACTTTTTATCAGATTAAACAACATTACACATTTTTAAAATCTAAACTTAAGTAGGAATTTTATTTATGTGATTATTTTTATATTTAAGCAATCAAGTGTAGTCTTTAAGAGTATTACAGGCCACGTTTTGTAAGTGATATATCATTCCCATGATAATGTCTCTTGTGTAACTTAAACATTATAAATAACATTTGGCTTATTTCAGATGCAGCAGGAGTTAGAAAAAAATATAACTAGAGAACTCGAAGAAGGTATGTTGCCAAACTTCATGAATTAAATTTAGATTGATTAATTGATTTCTGAAATAAACTGTAAATGGTGAGTGGGATCCCTTTCCATTGTTTGGCTAATAGATACTACATTAAATGTTCTTTCTTACACACATCTAATGAAAGATGTGAAAACATAAATATTCATAGTGGAGAGTATACTTCCTTTGTCTCATTAATTCATCATGTTCCATAGCTTTAAAAAAATCTCAAGAAGCCTTTGCAGCTCTTTTTTTTTTCGGCTCTACACTTTCTTCACTTCTGCCATTCCCATAAAACTGTAGCCAGCATGCAGAAATTATTCTTAGAAAACAAAGGCATCATCAACTTCTCAGGGGTATGGTGGTGATTTAAGGCCCAAAGACCCCAGACTTACCTAGTAATACCTAGTCTGTAATTACAGTTCATAAGCAGTCGCTTGACAGGTGACATTTTAAATCTCCAGTCATTTACTTTGTCATTGGTTTCCCTTTGCCCTCAGGAGAAGCTCCAAGTTCCTTAGCATGGAATAAAAACACCCACATCAATGTGGTCCTTGTCATGTCATTCAACCTTATTTCTCACCCCTTACTGTTCTCCGGGCCCCTTTGCTCTGGCATCCAGCCACCCTAGACCACGTGGAATTCCACAGGGAGCTTCCTCAGCTCCAGCTCTTGGCATTTGCTCCTGCCTTCTGTCTGGCATGTTTTCCTTGTCCTTCAGGTATCAGTCTACACATTGCCTCCATCAAAAAGCCTACGTTATTGACTCAGACCTGGGATAGGTGTCCGTTCTGTGTGTTCCAGTAGTGTCCTGTCTTATACCTCTCATGGTATCTGTGACTCTGTATGGAAATTGTATGTTTGTCTGTTTTTTCAGATTATAGCATATGTTTGTTAGAGATGGATCATATCATCTTCATCTTGTAATTCCAGTGCTTACTTTGCTCATGGTTGTTGAATAAATGAATGAAGAGAAGCTCTGATATTTAACCACAAGGATAAATTAATTCAATGTGCAACCACAGGCAAATTATATTTAATAGTAATCTTGTATCATAGTTGTGCATAGATATATTTCTTTATTAAAACTGACAAAATTCGCAACTCTTTTACTGACTTTTACTTAGTTAACTTTGAAATCTTTTAGGTAAAGAATATAATTCTTTCTTTTTCATTTTAGCTACTGCTGAATTGGAATCTGGATCAATAGCTTCTCCTCTAGGATCTACTGATGAGTCAAATCTAAATCAAGATCTGGTTTGGAAAGCATCAAGAGAATATGTACAGGTTTTAAAGAAAAATTATATGATCTGAAAGATAAAATTTTATTACTGGGCTGTTTATGTGACATTTTAATTGTTTCTCATTAAATATTAATATATGACATGTAAAAATCTTTATTAAAGGAAAATATTTTTGTATCATATGTGTCAGATCAAAATTTGTATAGTATTTTAAACAATGTAACTTGGCTTCTTTAACTTTTAAGTGGATTTTGCCAGTGAAAACCAGGAATATTGAGTTTTACATACTCAAAGTGCCCAAATGTCAGCTGTTTAAACAGCCAAACCACGAAGTTGTCATAAATACTTTAGTGCAGTTAATTGATGACTTATTTGTATTTTGTAATTTTTATCACTATATGTAGTGGTAGAGTTGGACTTAGACGTCATTTTGTTGTGCAGGAACTATGGTCATTGTTCATGTTTGGATGTATTAACAATCGTTACAGTGCCATCAAATATACACAATTTTAAGCACTGATTTATATAGCTCTTCTCAGGGAGAAATAAGATTTGCCTAATTCACCTTTTCTGTTTGTTTATTTATTTCTAATTAACCTTTTGGAAATAGTCTTCAATTTAGAGAAAATTTCCAAATTTTAATACAAAGACTTTCCCCTCTGAACCATTTGAGAGTAAATTGCTGACATTATGCCATCACCCCTGATTACTTTAGTGGGCATTCCTACAAGTCAGGACATTCTATGTAACTACAGTGCAAACATTGCAATCAGAAAGTCAACATTAATACATTCTAGTTTGTTACTTCTCTGTAATGTCCTTTATAACAAAAGGATCCCATTCCAATCCACGGCTTGTATTTAGTTGTTGTATCTCTTAGATTCTTTCAGTCTGGAACAGTTCCTCAGTCTTTCCTTGACCTTCATGACCTTGAGTATTTTGAAGAGTAAAGTCCAGTAATATAGAATGTCCCTTAATTGGGTTTCATGGTGATTAGATTTAGATTACATGAGTTTTTGGCAGGAGTATCACAGAAGTGACCCAGTGATCTTCTCATTGCATCTTACCTGTGACCCTACAGTTTTGATTTGCCCTGTTACTGGCAATGTTAGCATTGATCACTAACAGTGCTATCTGCTGAATTTCTCCTCTGTAATGTTATTTTTTCACCTTGTGGTTAATTAGTATTTTATGGGGAGGTAATTTGAGACTATGTACATATCTCTGTTCCTCATCAAACCCTCAATTTATTCATTTACTTCTATCAATATGGGTTCATGGTTTATTTTATTCAATGGGTTATCATTCATTAATATCATTATTAAAATTTGTTTTTCTTTTAAGAAATACTCTATTTTGACAATTTCAGACTTACAGAAAAATTGTAAGAGGTAGTACAAATAATTTTTGGATATTATTCCCTAAATGTTAACATTTTACTACATTTACTTCATCCTTTCTCCCCCTTTTCCTCCTCTGTCTCTAGATAAATATGAATATAGGTGCTTATGACAGATATTTTTTCTGAACTGTTTGTAGGTTGCAGACATGATGCCTCTTTATTTCTAAATAATGCATATTTCCTAAATACAAGGAATTACCTTACATAAGTGTAGTTTAGTGGTCAAAATCAGGATATTAACATTGGCTCAATGTTAATATCTAATCTATAGACCTCATGCAGATTTTGCCAGTTGTCTCCAAAATATCCTTGATAGCCGAGGAAAATTCAAGATGGGGGATTTTCACCAGGTGCACTGTGTTGGTCCAATTGTCCCGTTTCTCTAGTCTCCTTTAATCTGGGACAGTTGCATGACAATCAAATTTATGTTTTTGGAGAGTATAGGTCAGCTGTTTTGTAGGCTTTCTCTCCATTTTGGTTTGTACGATGTTTTCTCATGATTAGCTTCAGGTTGTGCCATTTGGGCATGGCTTTCACGCAGGCTGAGTTCTCTGCAGTGCAACATCTGGAGGCATCTGCTGTCAACTTGCTTCCATTACTGGCCAATGTTGACTTTGATTATTTGGTTTGTTCAGATAATCGAAGTCCACATCCTGCCATGTTTGTCCATGGTAAAGCTACTATATACTTTGTATTTAATAAGTATCTTGTATAAAGATACTTTGAGGTTTTGTAAATATCTGGCTACTACTCAGAACTTCAGCCATGAGATCAAGCCTTTCATTGGTGATTTGTGCTTGAATCAGTTATTATGATGGTTACCAAATGATGATGTTCTTATTCCTTTATCCCTTCTATATTGATAAATACAACAAAACCAGTGAACAAATAGGGGGAGAGGGGAAATCTTACTAATTTGGTGTTCAGATGCCCCTGGATTTGGCCAACAGTAGCCATTTCAAGCCGACTTTGTGTCCTTCTGAACCTGTCCCCCTTATTCTTTGAACACTTCAAGGGTCAACTGTATGTTTAACTTCCTTTTCTGACAGTAACCTGGCTCCCTTCATCCTGAATATATATTAAGTACTTACTTCATGCTGTCGATAGGCTTTGGAATCTGACTTTAAGTGAAATGACATATAACACAACCAATTTTGCCATAGGCTAAATGATACAAATAAAACATACATATCGTTGACATATCGTTGGTCACAAAAACATCACTAAACTTCTAAGTGAAGACCCCAAAACATGAATACTAAACATTGAAGTAAATGTGAACTCTACGTATATTTAGGAAAGATTAATTTAAAAAATTAAGATACTACCCAATTTTGGGTGCATCAGTGAGTGATAGTGGTTGTAGTGGTGGTGCTGTGTTAAATCAAGGAATAAATGATGCAAAGTGAAAAAATTGTCAGGAGCACCTGCTGCCCTCATGCAGCTATCTGAACACTATTTTTGTGTCCAAAAATAGTCACAAATACGGCAGGCTCATGGAGCACTTTCATACCACATAATTGTGTACCGCAGCATTTGTATTATGACCATAGACCCTACAACATTTTATTTTATAGTAATTTGCATTCGTTTGTTCTTCTTAACCTGCTTATTCCAGTTCAGGGTCACACACTGTCGGAGCCTCTCCTGCACTTAGGGGTGCAGTGTGGGAACCAGCTCTGGACAGGACACATCCCATTGCAGGGCCACTCACATACACCCGCCCTCACTCTAACTGCGACCATGTCATGACATCAGCACATCACATGACCTAACATGCCCAGCTTTGGGATGTAGGAGGAGACCAGAATACCTGGAGGAAACCCACACAGACAAGGGGAGAATGTGCAACCTCCACATAGATGGGAGCCCAGTTGGGAATTCTTTTTCTCATCAGTGTAACAATGAAATGATGTTGTTCAAGAATCTGCTATATTTACTCATTTGTTCAATCCCCATGTGTGTAACCAATCTCTTGTGTCCCAGCCCCTAAGCAACTGTGCTCCCCAGTCCCCCTTGGACTCCAGCACCCTTCATCAGGTTGCCTCCACCGCTTTTCCTCCCAAGCTGATGCTGTCTTCACTCCATCCTTTCCCAGACACCCTGTGCCAGGCCACCCTCTTATGTAGATCCTTCCACCTCAAATGCTGTAAACCCATGTGGGACTATCCCTTCCCCCATGTGGTTGCCTCCTGACTCTGTCTTTGATACCTCATTCTATTCCATCTACCTTTCAGGGGTGCCCTTACTTGACCTCCAACCCTGTAGAGGGTGACACTCCTGACATAGGAGATAGAAATTATTTAGGCAGATAGCAAGGGTAAAAGAGTCCTTGGCAGAATTTCTCTTTTAACAAAAAGCAGGTCCCAAATCATTTCTAACAAGGAGCAGCCTGAAAAATCGAGCTGCTGACATAGATAAGCAAGCTGGAAGCTTGCATGGGTGAATGCTGGCAATTGTGCCAATAGAAAAGGGCTACCTGAGGGCGACGTACTTTCAGTATGGAGGCTCCATCTTCCCTTTTCTTTGTACAGTAAAGGAACAGGCAACATGGTGCTGGCCAGGCAGAGAACTCATCTGCATAATAAAAGATTAGGGTGGGGGCGGCCAGATTTTCATGCACTATGCAAATGGCACACCTAGCCCTAACCAGTTTTTTGCACCTTATGCAAACGGCACACTTGGTCTGACCAATCTTTTGTGCCCTGTGTAAATCAGACACCACTGCCTTAAGCTCATCTATAAAACCGTGTGCATTTTGCCGCAGACTGGAAGACCCGCCCGGGACCCTCTCTCTGCAGGGGAGAGCTTTTCTCTTTCTCTCACCTATCAAACCTCTGCTCTTAACCTCACCCCTGTGTGTCCACATCCTTGATTTCCCTGGCGTGAGACAATGAACCTCAGATATTACTCCAACAGTAATGCTGCTTCACTCCCACACTTAGGCCGTTCTCATTTTATCCAGACTCCAGCCCCTCACTCTGGGCCACCACAACTGTGTTTTTGTTTCCAGCCTTAGTCCCTATACTTTTGAACTGAAATGTTCAGGAAGAAAAAGGAGAATAGGACTCCACATACTATTTATAATCAACATGCCGAGCTCTACAAAGCAAGCATTTTTTATTGGAATTGCATTGAGTCTATAATTTGGGGACAAAAGACATTTAGAATATTGAGTTATTCTGTCTTTATTTTTTCTTTTCTTTTTTTTTTTTTTTTTTTTTGAGACAGAGCCTCACTCTTTTGCCCAGGCTGGAGTGCAGTGGCGCAATCTCAGCTCACTGCAAGCTCTGCCTCCTGGGTTCACGCCATTCTCCTGCCTCAGCCTCCCGAGTATCTGGGACTACAGGCGCCCGCCACCATGCCCGGCTAATTTTGTTTTTGTATTTTTAGTAGAGACGAGGTTTCACCATGTTAGCCAGGATGGTCTCCATCTGCTGACCTCATGATCCACCCACCTCAGCCTCCAAGAGTGCTGGGATTACAGGCATGAGCCACTGCGCCTGGCCTATTCTGTCTTGTTAACTTACAGAGATCTTGCATATATACATTTTTAGATTTATTCCCAGTTATTTGGTACTTTTGATTCTATTCTTACATTTTATTTCCTGTTTCTTATAGAAGTAAAATCAGTATTTTATGTATTAAACTTGGATTCAGCTATCTTGATAAATTCATATTTTCTACTTGAGTATTTTATCTGTAGAATCTTGGATTTCCCGTATACACACAAAAATATCTGTAATAGTGACAGTATTGTATCCTTTCCAATTCCTGGAGTTTTTGTTTTTCTTTCCTACTACAAGAATGATGTTAATAAAAGGGTTGAAACAGAAGGCATCCATATTTTGTTGAAATTACAAAGGGGAAGCAATATTTTTCAATAAGTATGTAGATGGCAGGCTTTTGTTTTTATAATGAATATCCTTCATTATTGTATAGGTTTCCTATTGCTGCATAATAGGCCATCACAAACTTAGCATCTTAAAATCACACACACTTATTATCTCACGGTTTGGGTGGGTCAGGAGTTCAGGCATGGTCTATCTGGGTCCTCTGCCCAGGTTCTCACAAGGCAGTTGTAAGATCTGAGGTTTATTTTGCTGTAAACTTTTTTCCTTGGAATTTCAGCTGGTTTCCATCAGGGAAGCTGAGCTTGTCTGCTTCTGTGTGGGTGGAGCGTGGTCTTCAATCTGGGCCCCATTGCTAGGTAAGGAGCTGAGTTGGGAGTTTGTCTTGCAAATTCTCTATAATGACTGAAAGTTTTAGCAACCAGCTGGTCTTAATTTCAACTTACAATTGGAGTTCTCAGAAATTGTGTAATTTGTGTGATCATTGTTTTGCTTAGCTGTTTTTGTTTGTTTGTTTCTATCTTCTTGGGATTTTGGTGGTGGTGGTGGTGGTGGTGGTTTTAGTATGTTTTGGTCTCAAACCTGTCAGATTTGATGAATTCTAAACCCCTCTAGCCTATGAGCATGGAATTTTCACTCCAAAGGAAAAAAGAGCACCATGCTTTTCTCAGCCTTTCAGGGCATTCTCAGGTGACTGAGAATCATGTGAGGGTGTCTGGGAGGAATGCCTCCTAAGAGCAGCAGTGGCTCCAATGAGGTTTCTCCCTCAGGAGAACATAATTAGGGCCTATTCTCACCTGGCAGGTGCATATAAGGAGTTGACCCCTCCCACATCTTAAGCCCCTGACACATTGTGCCAGGTAGTTGTGACACAGGTGGACCAAACCAGTTCAGAGAGTAATTGCCCTGGAAAGCTAGGTCCGTAGGCAGCACACTTTGAGTCTGACACATTCACCGACTTAATAATATCTGAAGGAGAACTCTAAACTATGGAAAATTAGGCCTCTACATTGGCTAAAATCCCAGCAGCTGTGCAACAAAAAGTTACAACCTTAGAAACTCTGGCTGGGGGCCAGGCGCGGTGGCTCAAGCCTGTAATCCCAGCACTTTGGGAGGCCGAGACGGGCGGATCACGAGGTCAGGAGATCGAGACCATCCTGGCTAACACAGTGAAACCCCGTCTCTACTAAAAAATACAAAAAACTAGCTGGGCGAGGTGGCGGGCGCCTGTAGTCCCAGCTACTCGGGAGGCTGAGGCAGGAGAATGGCGCGAACCCGGGAGGCGGAGCTTGCAGT